GCTGACATTCCCCAAATGCCCCGTATGGAACGGCAGTCTCTCCCTTGGGGGAGGAAGGTTGCCTCAGCCGGATGCACTTAATGCCCCCCACCCACCCACCTGCCTGCACCCCCCCTGTTTCTCATCTGGCTCAACAAAGGGCTAAGATGCTTTGGGGGGGATTCTGTTCCCCCCCATCCTAGAATCGCAGAGTTTGAAATGGGACCCCACGGGTCATCTAGTCCAACCCCCTGCAATGCAGGAATCGCAACAATGAAGCCTCCCTCCCTTGCCTCCCCCCGAAATGTGTGACGCAGCCCCTCCCTCTCCCCCTCCCCCCCCCAGTGTCCACTGTGGGGCTTTTAACCAATGTGAATAGTCCTCCGTAGCCAGAGGGACGTCGCTCTGCCTGATGTGGGGCTGTATATATTGTAAATAGCACAGGACATGTATTTTTAAAGGGGTCGTATTTATGTGGGGGGGGGACAGAAACGAGATGAAAGTCTATACATAACGAGCGTGTGAGAGAGATCCAGCGGGTGGGGTGGGTGGGTGGCTGGCCGAGACGCCCCCCAGGCGGGGCCAGGAGCCAGGCCTGGACCGGCTTGGAGAACGGGCGCCTCGCACTTCTCCACGGGCGCCGTGCAGTGGCAGGGAGTTCCGCTGAGACCGGGCGGCGCCGGCGGCTGTTTCCTCCTTTGTGCACTTGTCTCTTCTTAGCTTCTTAGGGTTCTTATCAGGGAAACGGGCCAGAACCACCTGAACCTATTTCACAGCAGATCTGAGCTTCCACTTCCGAGTGCGGCCTGCTAAGCTTCAAACTCTCCACGTCCCCCTCGCCCTGCGCCCCACCAGGCAGCCTGGCCCCAGTGCCTCCCCACCTCCTCTCCTAGGGCCGGGCCGTGGCTGGAGCAGCATAGAATCGGGGAGCTGGGAGGGACACCCCAAGGTCATCTAGGGCAACCCCCCACCATGCAGGAAACAGAGTTCAAGAATCACCGCTGGACAATCCCCCGGCCACTGCTGGAAAACCTCCAAGGAAGGAGAGGCCACCCCCCCACCCCAGCCTCCGTGTTGGAGAAGATCCAGTGGGCCCTCCAGTCCACACCCCTGCAAGGCAGGGACCCCCAAAGGTTCTCCAGACCACCCCCTGCAATGCAGGGCTCGCAGCTTCCCATCGCCCGCACCCCTAGCAGCTAGACTGCCCCTTCACCACCCACCTGGTGGGGTTGCATCTGCCCCCCCGCCTGCACTTTCCATGCAGGGTGTTCAGAGGGTGTGACTGACCCCCCCTCCACCTCCAGAAAGCCTGGAGGGTGTCTTCTTCTCCTGCCACCGCAGGGCTGGCTCCTTCCCCTCCCAGCTGCCCCATTCCCCTCCCCATATCTCCCCATCCCTCAGGAGAGGGCCATGCTTAGCAGGTGGCACTGCATGCGAGTTTACACCCCCTGTTCTGACCCCGCACGTTTGGCCCCCGTGTGTGTGTGTGTCCCGTGTGCCGCTCTCCCCTGGAGCCCCTTCAGCCCCGTCCGCCCGGGGAGAACGCAGGGTCCTCTTGTGACCGGGGGGGGGAGGGGGCAGGACATGCACTGGAGGAGGGGGTTGCAGCGGAAACGGGGCCTGCTTCAGAAACAGCAAAAAAGGAGAAAGTAATTTTGAATCATCCCCAACGTGCGCACTGAGAAGGGGTCTCCGGCCAAGGCTCGCTCCTTGGAGAGTCCTGGTCCTTCAGAGATGCTGCTTCTGAGAAGAAGGGAAGGACCCAGAGGCCCTATTCGTGTTGGTTAAAACACACTCCCCCACCCAGCTCCATGTGCAATATCTTTGTTAATGAATGTTCCCACCAGAGTCGGCTCATCCAGTAACCTTTATAATCCGATCACCGTAGCTAACCTGTTTTACATCCATCCAAGTGACTCTTGATTCAAGTGCAATATTTCGATAGCTTTCGTGAGCTCCTCCATCGTAGGCTTTTGTGTTCTAGGGATTTGTGTGTGCAAAGCAACGCCGATCAGTTTCCTCCCTGTAAATAAACCAGGTTGCCGATCCAAAGGAACGCGCGTTAGGCTTGCCTCTACTTTTGTGCGAGTGTTTCTGTGGGCTGCCTGGCTACTGCCCCCCCCCCCCGCGCTGTTCTCTATGCCGATAGATATCCATGGGGTCGTGGCTCCTCCTCTGTTGACTGCTTGTGTTGACGCTTCTACTGTATTTTATTTTTTAGATTCCTGTCTGCACAAAATGCAATAAAAAGGATTTTATTACACCCTTCATTGGCTGCGGGCGGCCTGCTTATGTCCTGGAGGAGAATGTTGGGTGTGTGCAGAGTCCGCCTTCAAGTGACACATAGTTAACCTGTGGAACTCCCTGCTGGAGGCACCGATGGTCACCTACCTAGGTGACTTTAGAAGAGTGTAAGTTCCTGGAGGAGGGGGCCCCCTGTGGTTTCCAGTCATGAGAGCTATGCACATGCAGAAGGGGAGAAAGTATTGTGGTGGGATGCTTCTGGGGGTATTCCACATGCCACAGAGAGAACGGGATGCTGGACTAGGTGGGCAACTGGCCTGATCCAGGAGCCAGGCTCACCTTAGGTTCTTATTTTTACAAGCGGTTGACCGGTGCTGAGCAGGCTGGAAGGAAACCGGAATGGCCTTCCCAACAGCTTGCACTGGCCCAGCTCACAAGGCCCGGGGAGGGGAGACAAGGCTCTTTGGAAACAGCTCTTGGGGTTCTGCCACCCTGTGACTGACCTACAGCTGCTGAAGACCTGGAGGCAGGATAGGGCGGAAGGTCTTTGCCGTTCTGCATTGCCATGCACAGGGAGGGACTGGCTCTCCTGGCTGGGGCAAACACTGAAGTTCCCTTCCACCGGAGGGGAACTGGGCTGCCGTTGCCCCCAGAGAATGTCACAGTGCCACGGGGATTTCTTCCATATCTCCTGCACGGAGCGGCTCTTGAGTGGGGTTCAGGCGCTGCAACAAGCCTAGAGAGCAGGAGCGCAGTAATAAAGGATTGAGGACTCAAAAGTACAGTTTCTAAAACTGAGTTTACAAAAAAGGTTTGGAAACCTAAATGGCACAAATTCAAAGAAAGGAATACAAGATAAGCTGTTTTAGATTTTAAACAAACTCAAGAACAGGGCTGAAGCGCTCCCATGGTCTAGATGTTACTGCTGACGTTAAAGACTGCGGGGGGGGGGGGGGACTCACACACCCCAGCACTGAAAGACCAACAGCCAGGCCCTCTTGGAGATGCCAGGGGTTACAACAAACACAAAAAGGAGCTTTTACAATTACTGCCCAACGTTTAGAAAACCGTTTTAGCAAGCCGTATAAATGAAAAGGAGAATGAAAATCCTGGGCTGGGAGGCTCTCGGTGCATGTTCTTCCCGAAGGACTTGATCTCAAGGTTGCAGAGCTAACCTGAAGGCGCCTTTTCCCCCTGCAAGACAAGCCTCCGTTGGGGAAGAGCCCATTTTGGGCGGGGGGGGGGGGAGAGACACTGTGAAAGAGATTTGTTTTTTATACTTCTTAAACATATCTAAGCAGGGGGCAGCCTCCCAAAACACAAGCACCTGCCCACATATAGGAAGCTGCCCCTGTAGCGGCAAGGCAGGGGGCCAGCCGGTGTCCTGAGATGATCCACGGAGAGGGCTGGGGGGGGGGGGAGACTTCTACCCATCATGGCCATGCTCTGCCTATGATCAGAGGCAGCAGCGCTCCTGAATATCAGCTGCTGGAAGCAGAGGAGGGCGCTCTGGCGCTGGAATCCTGCTTGCTGCTTTCTTGTGGGGGCACCTGGTTGGCGACACAGCGAACATTACAAAACCATCAACATTACAAAATTCCAGCTGTTTTCTACTCGGTCTTCCCCAATACTGTATCAAGCCCTGGCCTATGTCTTAAAGGTACAAGATCCCTCAGTTAACAAAACCATACGCTGCTAAGTTTTGCTAAAATGAACCACCTCAGATTACAAGTATGGAAGAGCATGTTTGAATACTCTCATATATCTTCTTCTTCTTCTTCGATCACTCGCAGCTGAGTAAGATTGTCTTCCATAAACACCTTTGGCGTAGAGAACACTTGCAAGTCAAGGACACAATTACTTTTTTAAAAAATTTCAGTTGTAGTGGAGCAATGGAGACAAGTTGTTCCTACTGCTTGGGGATAGGCAATTTGTGGCAATATCACAAATTATACGGTCTGGTTTTTAGTATACCCCGAATCCTTTGCTTATTCAGGGCCACCCCACATTTTCTTCAAAAAATTGCTTTGCACAGGGAACTCTACCATAGAGTCATTGACATTTTCAAAAGCAGTGGGTCCATGGCTTGGCTTTTGAAAAACGGGGCTCCTCGGTAATTAACTAATTACCCTGATCTGCCTTGCATGCGCTGGGAGAAAGGCAGGAAGATTGAGGAACATTAATACACCCAAGAGCATTCATGAAAATTTTAGACACACTTGTTAAATATTTGTGTGTGTGTGTTAGGAACCTAGGAAGCACTTGGCACGGAATCTGGCCTTTGGCCCAGTGAGGGTGCTCTTGGTTCTACACAGATCTCCTGGGGAGATGCTGCTGGCAGGGACCCAATCTGGGGCCTTTAGCTTGCAAGGCAGGTATCCCACCCCAGAGCAATGAGGAGTTCAGTCTTGGAGGTGGACGTGGGGAGCCTGAGGTCCGGCTCTTGCAGGTGGCCCTTTTGTCATTCCCCAGAGGGGGTTGCGGGGGGGGGGGGAGAGCCCTGACCTACGAGCAAACACCCCCTGAGCTACACACCCTCCTCTGCAGTGTTTTGGAAAAAGAAGTGCTCTTCTTGCAAAAAGCACAGGTGCTCCACCGGGGGCATGAGGAGGATGGGTGCCCAAGGCAGGCACGACACACTCAGGGCAAAGACCCACAACCATTTCCTTTTAATGCAGATGTGTGTGTATATATACCGTTTTTTAATTAAAAAGTGGCATCCTCCAGTTAACAATACAGAGGAATCTACATGACAAAACCATTCAAGAACAGAACATCTACAGCTTCAGAAAGGGGGGGGGTGAGGAGTAACCCCTGTGAGTAGGCCTCTCCAGCTGCAAAGGAACAGACACCCCCGTTTCCAACGCAAATTCAAGTTTGTACAACATGAAATCAAGGGGGCAACAGAACCACCCAATAGAGAAAACATCCCTTGGCCCTTTTCTTGCAGGGAGGGGCCTGAGCTGCACAGCAGAGCCTGGGGCTGCATTTCTGTGGCTGTTGCTGAAAAGAAGCAACGGGGGGGGGGGGTCATGAAGTCCACAGGCAGCTTCCCTCAACGGAGGGGGCCCTAGAGGAAAGAAGGAAGACACTCCACTCGCCTCAGCCCTTCTGGCTCTGCGTGAGAGGAGGAGCAGGCTGCCCCCGCCTGCGGCAGCCCCCTTGGGCCAGAGAGGGGGCGGCAGAGCCCCAGTGAGGGAGGGGGGCCTCCTGAGGGTGGGCACGGGAAGGGGCATGCACAAAGGGGAGCCTTGGGGAGAGGAGGGGGAGAGAGCTGCCCTTGGCCTCAGTAGTGCCGATGGTAGGAGCTCAGCTGCTGCTGGGAGGAGGGGGCGGCCCGCGCCTGCCCCACAGTCTGGTTCACCAGGTGCGTGAGGGCCGGCCCGCTCTGGATCAGCGTGTCCAGGGCCTTCTGCACGCTGGGGTTGTCAAAGTTGATCCCGGAAGACGGCGCCGGCCTGGAGGCGGAAGCGTTGCTGGGGGCTGGCGGGCGGTTCTGGTACAGCGGCTGCGAGGCCTGGGGAGCTGCGGCCCGAGGGCCTACCCCCCTGGCGGGACCCCCGTGGCCAGAAAACTGAGGGCCCTGGGCCGGGGCCCGCTGCTGAGACTGGCCCAATCCGCTGCCGGTGGCGCCGGGCCGGTTCTGTGTGCTGGGCCCCGTGGAGAAGCCGGTGTTCTGGGAGGTTCCTGCGGCTGAGCTGCTGTTGGCCGTGGCCATGGCTGCCCCGCTGTTGAAGAGGCTGAGGATCTTGGCCTGCAGCTCCTGCTGGGGGGTCGAGGCCACGGGGGCCGAGGGGGCCGAGGAGAGGGCCTGCGAGCTCTGGGGGCTGCTCAGGCTGGCCGAGGTGCCCAGAGAAGACCCGGAAGAGGCTCCGAGGGGCTGCCGGGTGTGCGAAGCTGCGGGGAAGGAAAGGCCAGTTTAAGTCTCTGGAGCCCCAGCTGCCCCCCATTACAGGCTTAGTGTAATAATAATAACAACAACAACAATAACAATAACAACAACAACAACAACAATAATAATAACAACAACAACAATAATAATAATAATAATAGTAATTTATTATTCATACCCCATCCATCTGACTGGATCTCCCCAGCCACTCTGGGCGGCTCCCAACCAAATATCAAAAACAATGCAGCGTCAGACATTAAAAACTTCCCTAAACAGGGCCGCCTTCAGGTGTCTTTTAAGTTGTTTATTGCCTTGACATCGGCTGGGAAGGCGTTCCAGAGGGCGGGCGCCACTACGGAGAAGGCCCTCTGTCTGGTTCCCTGTAAGCTCACTTCTCGCAGGGAGGGAACCACCAGAAGGCCCTCAGCGCTGGACCTCAGTGTCGGGGCAGAACGATGGGGGTGGAGACGCTCCTTCAGGTATACTGGACTGAGGCCATTTAGGGCTTTCAAGCACCAACACTTTGAATTGTGCTCGGAAACGTACTGGGAGCCAATGTAGATATTTCAGGACTGGTGTTATATGGTCTTGGGGCCGCTCCCAGACACCAGTCTAGCTGCCGCATTCTGGATTAATTGCAGTTTCCGAGTCACCTTCAAAGGTAGCCCCACGTAGTGCTTCTGGGGGGCCAAAATGCAGTAGGCCTGGTTCAAGCAGGTGGGGAGGGCAGGCGTCTCCCTGGCAGAGAACTTACCCGGATGGGAGTCTGTGGTGGCTCTCAGCTGTCGCTCCTTGCGTTCCCTCAGGTAGTTGATGATCTTGTCCGTCTCCTCGGAGGTCAGGTAGCGGTTGTCACACAGCAAGTTCAGGAGCGTCTGGATGCCCGGGGGGTGGCCCCCACGGAGCCCCTCCTCCCCCTGCTGGGGGCGCTCCCGCTCCTGCAGAATGGTTTCGTCGGCCATCTTGGCGGCCTGCCTGGCAATCACCTCGCGCTCCTTCTCCCGGATCTCCGTCTTGTAGCGCTCGTAGTTCCTCGCCACCAGCACCATGGCGTCCGCCTGCGGCATGTTCCTGTGCTCTGCGGCGGGAAAGGTCATGCGTGAGCAACCCCTGTGGCGCCAGGGAAACAGCGGCAGGAAAAGCCCTCCTCCCGGCCGGGTCTCCTGAGAGCCGCTCTCCCTGCAGCCAGAAGCCTCCCCTACCAGTCTAGAGGGCTCTGGCGTCTGCCTGCCTCTTGCAAAGGGAATTCTGAAGTTTCAATTCAGTTTGAATTTTGCTGATTAACTGGGGCTGTGGGTGCACACATTTGTGCGAGAAAGAGACAGTAAAAAGACACCCTGCTTTGGGGGGGGGCTTTCCTCTTAATGATGGGCTCTCCTTCCTTGGGAGGCTTTTAAGCAGAGGTTGGAAAGCCATCAGGGATGCTTTAGCTGAGAGTCCTGCATGGCAGGGCTGGACTAGATGCCTCTTGGGGTCCCTTCCAACTCTACGGTTCTAGGATTCTTCTGAAAACATACACAGGTTCCAGCTCTCACAAGCCAGCAGACCCAAAGCAGACACCCTCCTCCTCCTCCTCGACTTGAGCATCTTGTGGGTTCTGGGGCACAGGCCCCCTTTGTGGGAAGCGGCAGCCCCTCGCCCGCCAACCTTGTGCTCTCAGCCCCCTGCACAAGTGTCTCTGGGGAAAGCCCTGCCCGCAGCTGCAGCCCCCCCCGGCCCCCCCACCTTGCGGGGTGCCAAACATGATGTTGACGGTGCAGGAGTGGTGAATCTGGTGCTGCTGGGTGATGACAATGGCAAAGGCGGAGCCCCCTCTGCTCACGTCGTCCAGGGCTTGCTGCAAAGACATCTCCGAGTTGAGGAAGATCAGGTCCACCATCATGCCAAGATCGCGCACCTTGCGCCCCACGGACTCTGCGTACTCCCTGCGCAAAACAGAAGCCGCTGCACCTGAGCCTGCGCCTCAAACTGCCGGCGCCTCTCTCTGCTCCTCCTCATGCGCCAAGTGGAACACAGAAGTTAGGAGTAAGGAATCTTCCACTTGTGAGGCAAACATGGCCAGCCAGGGGTTCAAATTTGGACCACAAGATCCTTTCCCCCAAACCAGAGTTGCCTGCCCCACACTTGACATCCCAGGTGGCGTCAGGTGTGCTGGCAGGTAGGCACATGGTGGCCAAGGGGCTGCTGGGAGCTTTGAAGTGTCCTCTTGTTTCTGCATTAGCAAGGGAATCAGGCTTGGCTCTGCCACCTGTCGGACGAATCAGCTGGGCAAGTGAGTGCTGGGGGGGGGGGGATTCGCTCACCCCCACAGCCAACAACTGCAGAAGCAGCTTTCGGCTCAATTGCCCATCAGCCAATGCGCAGGAAAGCAGAAACCTCAGGTACTCTTTGCAAGCTCAGAGTGGTGCCTTGCAGTCCCAGTTTTGGGACTTCAAAGAACTCTATCACCCAATGCCATTGTGATGTCAGGTGATTGACAGTTGAATGGCTCCATGCACCCGTCACATGGGGCCCAAAAGGCTAGAATCCGACCAGGATCTGGCCAGCAAAGCCAAGATGAAATGGCTCCCTTGTTTTTGGCGTTTGTAGAGATGGTTTTATTCTTTCAGAATCTGGTGGGTTCATTTACTACTCGTAGAGCCTGCGCTTTTGCGTTTCGCTCTACTTTGACTGTATGCACCTGCTCTGAGGGCGACATGCCATGAAGCGGTGGGGACACGTGCCTAGAAAGAGCCAACCAACCAGCCCCACAACAGCCAGAATGCAGGAGCAGCAACTGGGGGGACAATGAGGGCCGTGGCCCCGCCTGACAAGCTCTTACTTGGTCTGCTTGTTGACCACAATCACTGAGCAGTCCACTGGCCGCTCCGAATCAATGCGCCGCTTGATGTCCTCAAAGAACTGGCGATACAGCTCTTCCCGCCGCCGCTCCTCCCGCTTCATGCGCTCTGAGGGAAGAGTCACCAGGGTCAGGGCAGAGAATCTCACCAGGCCCCCTCCCCTTCCTGGCAGGACCGCCCACCCCGCTCCCACCAGCCTCGGGCGGACGGACGGATCCAATAGCCACCTTCAGTGCTCAAGGTGGGTCTGTCCAACTGGTCTCTGTAGCGGTCGTAGTACTGGTCATCCTTCCTTCGGTAATAGTCGTCTGGGCGCGCATAGCGGTCATAGCCCTCCTCTCGCCTGCAAGGCAGACACGGGGAGACATGTTCCGACTGCAGCAGCCAAGAGCCATTCCCAACAGCACCCCCCACCCCTTGTGCCACTCCAGGAGGCTCCCAGGTCCTGCATACCTGTAGGGAGGCTCCCTATAGCGTTCGTAGAGCGGCTCTCGGGTGTCCTGAGGGTCCCTTAGGTCTCTGGGGTCCCGGAAGTCTCTCGGCTCTCTGCCGCTGCTGCGCACATCTCTCACCCCGGCACCCCGGGAATCTCTGCCATTCCGGCTCTCTTGAGCGTCTCTCGGAAGGCTGTGGCGGTTTGGAGAGCGGTCGCGTTGTCCATCTCTCTCTCCGTAGGGCAAGGCCTCTCTGCAAGAAGCACCGGGGAAAGTTCTTTAGACAGCGGGCGCCATCAGCGGGGTCGTCCCCAGCTGCCAGGGCAAGGCCCCTCCTGGAACAAGAGTCTGGGAGCACTTGAGAGAGGAACAGCGGACAGACAGCCCTGTTTAGGGAAGCTTTTAATGATTGATGTTTTACTGTGTTTTTAATATTCTGTTGGAAGCTGCCCAAAGTGGCTGGGGAGGCCCAGCCAGATGGGTGGGGTATAAGTAATAAATTTATTATTATTACTACTACTACTACTAAACTACTACTGCTACTACTACTACTACTACTATCCGCAGCCTGGCTTCAGAAGGCAAAGGGATCCTGGCCTAGTTCTCACCCCAGTGCCAACCTGCCGCTGGGCTCTCCTGCTTCCAAGACTGGCGGGGAGACGCGTGACCTTCCCACAAGAAGATCCTCTCCTCACATACAAAACCACCTTGTCACGGAGATGCCTGCGCCGGAGCCTTTCCAACACCTAGCTTTCTGTGTGCAGGGAAGAATTCCTATGAAGGAGGCTTCAGCCACCCAAGTCCCCCCTGGCGGTTTGCAGTGGTGCAGCCCAGATTGTTCTATCACCCCAGGGACAACGGGGCCTTGGTCAATTCCTGCACAAGCCTATCAGCATTGAGCACCCCCTCAGCTTAATCTTCTAGATGGGCTCCCCCCCCCCCCAGACGTCTTTGAGTTGGTCTGAAGTGAGCCTGCAATGGCAATGGGCTCCACCACCACATCCGCCCCTGGGCTGGGCTCAGCGCTCAATGGGGGAGAAAGCTCCCTCGGGATTTGTTTCTAACCACAGAGGTATAACAAGATCAGGAAACAAAAGAAGTGAGTGACGGCCTGTGCAGGTACAGCAGGAGAAGGGGAGCTCTCACATTTCGGAAAAGGTGGCGGTCCCGGACCGCAGAGCAGCGCATCTTATGGAACAAACCTTGTGGACAGTAGGAGAATGTGGACAGGCAGAATGCCCGGAGAAGTTAAGGAAGTGGGACAGTCGGAGGACTCCTCGTCTGGAGCCAAGCGGAGCCGTCAGTGATGTGTACGCAATAAACCAGCACCCTTCGGACGCAGGGCCAACCCTGGACGTTACCAAGAACTCAAGCACTGCGCAACGGTTCTTTATTTCAGATCCCAAGCTTCGTTCTCCCCAGGCTCAGGGACGGCGGCAGAGCTTCTCATGTTTTCTTCAGGCTTCATACGAGTGGCGTTTGAAATGGATTTCAGCAAGCTCAGCTGAACTGCGCTCTTGACAGGGGAACCCAAGAAATGCCACAGAGCCAGAAAGGGCACCTCCCTGGGGAGAAAGCCAGCACCCTCCTCTCATGTAGGTCTGCGAATGCCCTCGCTAGGCTCCAGAGGTACAGGCAGACCCCTGGGAGTGCCAGAGCTCAGGCAGGTTGTGGCCACGTGCCCCTTTCTCCGCTCATCCCTTCCTCCCCCCCTCCGACACCCACAGCAATGCCATGCCTGCCCCTCGCGTGCGCTCTGCCCACAGCGCTCAGAGCAAAGCAGTGCCCTGGTGCACGCTAGCGCGCTAGCCGATAACATCAAGGGTGATGCTCCGGCTTCTGCTTGCGCCTTGGCCACTGGCACCCCGGCGATGTCCCGGCTCCTGAGCTAGCAGAAGCAGCAGCCAGGTCTGGGGCTTGTGCACAGCTCTGTACTGATGCCAAGAGAAGTGCCCGTGCACGATGGGCACACAGTGACGCCGCGCCAAGAGAGGACAGGAGAATCCTCTTGCCAAGATGATGTTATCTGTGCCCCTCTCTTCGGGGGCAATGTCCCTGCAACGGAAAAGCATGCCAGCACGGGGACGGGGGAGGAAGCACTCCCCGGCATTCAGCCTCTGCCCCTGAGCGCAAGGAATCTTGCTGCCCTCTCCTTCGTGGTACAGCCCGAGGGACGCTCTCGACTCCGAGGCGCTCGCCAGGGACGCCCCGGGTCACACAGGCTGCAGCTCTCCTTGCCCGCAACCTGCCCCGAGCTTGGGAGGAGCCTGGCGGCAAAACGATCTTGCCGCCTGGAAGGCTGCAACCAAGAAGAATCGCAGAATCCTCGTGGGATTCCCTTCCGAGGAGAAGCTCCACCGTCCGCGGAGGAAGGTGCATTTCTGCCCTGAGCCCAAACTCCTAGGGGAACTTGATGCTTCTCGGTACTTTACCTTCGTGCTGGGCTGGACCTTGAGGGAGCCTTATTCATATTTCTTCTTCCCGCTGCTTTATTAATATCTGAAAAGAATAATCAACCCGTCTGTTCAATGCTATGGAACAAAGAAAAGATCGTCAGCATATTGAAAAGAAAGCATCAACGTTCAAAGGCAGCCAGAGGGTGCAAGGAAGACCACGCCACGAGGTGCTGTCACTGAAACAACCTTTATTACATCAGGAATACAGTACAGTGAAGTTGTCGGCTGACGGCATCCTCCGATTGCAAGCTCCAGGAAGGAAGGAGCCAGCTTTTTGCTCCAACTGACCCAAAGGCACAGGCTGGAAACAGAGGCCAAAGCCCAGGCAAACCCGGCAGGCGGCCAACCAGCCCCCACCCCGGTTGCTGTGAAGCAAGCTGGGCTCCCAAAGCCACGTTCGCTCAGCACGCAACTGCTCAGGAGGAAAGGGATCCGAAGGGACAGGAGGGTGCTGGAGCTACGCCACAAGGCCAATGAAGGTGCTGGAAAGGAGGGCGGGGGGGGGGGGAGAACACACACATCTCCAGATCAGGCTACTGGGCTGCAATGTGATAATACCCAGGGCTGTCAACCAGAAGTTTGAAAACAACCAGACCTGGATCAAGTTACACATGCACGAAGCAATAGTTCTGAAAAGAGCAAATCCTTTTCATTCTTTTTCTTTTAGATGACGCACCCAGAAGTCACAGCAAGCACCATCTCAGGAGAGGCCCAACCCGAGAGAGGGAGGTCTGACCGCACAAGCCTCCCTCTCCCCTGGGGCTGGAGCATCTCAGAAGTCAGAGCGCGCGGAAAGGAGATGGGCAGGAGAGGCTGCGGGTCCACAGGGTCAAAAGCCACCTTCTTCCACCACACATTCACTCCACCCCCCCCAAAAAAACACAGATGGGTGGGAGAAAGAAAACAGCCCTGGAGAAGGTGCAATTTGTTTACCCCCCAAAAGAACCACACACCACAGCTGGGAAACTGGGAGAGAAATGCTTTAGCCCATTTCTTCGATTAGTTGGGTATAAAAGAGTGACTATCAACGCATTCTGTATTTTTAACCACTCAAAAGTACAATTAAAAAACACATCTGAACTTGATAGTTTTATAGTTTTATTTAGATTAGCTAGAGTGAAATATCAGTGTTATCATCCTGCATGCCGAGATTTTTTTAAAAACTTACTTCTAAAAAAGAACTGGGGGGAAATCAGATACATATTACAACCAACAATTCCTACCATTTTTTCTATCACTTGCACAGCACCATCGTAGGAAACGTAGTAAATATTTAGAATAAAATATTTGGAGGTGCAGCCCTTTCAACAGCTGACCAGCTCCATTTCCCCAAAGCCTAAGAACCAGCCCTCCTGTAACGCTTTTCTGCAGCAAAAGGAAAATGTGACCCTGAAGATATGGCAACTTTCCTTTTTGTGGGGAGTGAGGGAAGGAAGCCCAGGCATCCAGTCCTTCTTGCCGTGGAGTCACCCCTTTTGAGTCTCTTTCTCCCACTCATACACAGGTAGATCTTTTGCTATGGAAGTGGCTGTCCCTTCAGAATAATGGCCTTTTCAAACCTCTCATTAGATAGAAATAGCAGAGGGCTGGTGCTATTTCCACACAGCCAAGTCTAGCCCTTAAATTTAGTAATGTTTGAATGTGTCGTGCATTTGCGGGTCAGACCAAAAGCCTCCTGCTTTGCTTTGGAAAGAGTCCCCTTTTCTTACATGCCCCTCAGGCTGCGAGCGCCTCCAAGTTTGCCTTCTTGCCTTTTCTGCTTTACATAATCGGTGGAAGAGATCCTGTGCTTTGGGGTCCCATGTCATCCTAATATGTTTACTGCCCCAGTTCACTCTCGAGTCTGAAAAGAAAGTGACGGATCGGGCCCCGAGGCAAGACGATGGCAATATCTGATTAAGAACCACCCCTATGGAGCTAGTCCTCAGTGGGCCCTTTCACACACTGCTCTATTCAATGCACTGCTCGACTGCGCATTCAACTTGCCACCAGGTTGCCTCCTGTCCCATCATGAGATCTCTCTGAAACATCTCAAGCATCCACTTGTACGTTGACCCTCAGTCAACTGTATCTTCTCACCTCTTTCCTGCTCGTTTTGTCAAACAGCATAAATTGAAACCCTGAAATTTGCTTGCAAAAACTATTTGAAACCCTCCACGGCATCTTCTCTTTCACTCTTCCATTTTTACTGTGTGGCTGAAGAGCCTATCGCCTTCCTGGAAGCTTGTACAAATCTGGAACTGCAAAGGCGCCGATGCACAGGGCTGCAGCCTTTCCGCTGGCGGACGTCTTGCTCCTCCATGCAGCCTGCTTTGCTCCGCAGCCAGGCCCAGCTCACTGCTCCCCTCCTTTCCTTCCACCTCTGGAGCTGTTGAGACGATGTTGGCAGCAATCCAGCCTCCAGGTCAAACCGCACGTTTGCCAGTCATCGCACGGCAGCGGTTTCCGCTCCATCAACACTCTCGGCTGGCTCTCGCCCAACTCAAGTGGCACAAGGTGTCCAGGGACTTCTTCAAGGGCTCTTCAAAGGACCCCCCCCCAACATGCCTCAGCTTACCTGTGAGGACTGGCGCTGAAGATCTGAAAGCTGCCTTTTCCACGGGGAATGAGCAGGGGGGTCCATGCAGGATTTGAAAAACAAAGTCCACGATAGGGCAGCAGCTTAGGGTGAACACTGGGGAGCTCAGTGTAACATACTGGCACAAAGTTTAAGCACTGCTGGTGTGTATTGGGGGGGGGGACTGAAGACAAGACACCCAGAGAGAGCTGAAAGGATGACAAAGGCAGAGCCAAAAACACTCTTGGAGGTCAAGGTCCACAGCGTCTTTTATTGAGTAGCATGCCGGAGAGACAAAGCCCCCCCCCCACCTCTGCCCTCTTTCACATTTGGTCTTAGGTACCCACGCAAGATGATAGGCTGCCTCCCATCTTAAATCAAAGGCAGGCAGCTTATAAGAAGAGTGTTTCTTCTGCTCCTGAAGGACTGCAGGCGCATCAAAATGTTCTGTGTCAAAAGCCATGCTACTTACTTGTCTACCGTGAGGCCAGCCGTGATTTCAGACTGTGAGGGGATCAGAGTCTGGCTCTAGCCTTCCAGAGGTGGGGGCCCCAGCAGGTCCAAGAGATGGGAAAGGCCAGAGGGGAAAAGGGCTTCCCTCCCCAGTGCAGAAAAACTGGAAATGTGGGGAGAATGAGTAGGTACACTGAAAATATTGGCTCTTTCAGAATGTTTAAATACGTTCCTAGCTAATGTTTAAAATGATGAAATCCAAATACACATTTCAATAGAGTAGTTCTTTAGGTAAGCAAACGAGAAACTCAACAGTATTAGCCCAAAGCAGCTCCTGAATTCGGTAGACACAACACTTTCCACAACAAATTACAGCTCCCCGCTCAGTGGGTAAAGTGAGGACTAGGACAAAATAAGATGCTATTCCTAATAAAGCCCCATGAGGGCAGCCCAACACCCCATTTTTCTGCTGGCCCTTAATATTTACAATCTATTGCCTACGTTCCAGGGATGCTCAGCTTGACCTTCTTCCCACAGAAATGTGATTTGGTGTCCCTGCACAATAGTGAGGTCTAGCTATGATTTGTGACACACCCTTCCTTCCGTCCACCATGATGCAGCTCAGCACTTCCACTTGCAACGTTTAACCATTTAGCCAAGTCTCACAATTCTTAGCTAGCCTTCTCCGCTGCCTCCTGCCAACAACTGACTACATGCATCCTCTGGGACACACCATTCTCGGTGCCGCCCATTTTTGCCAAATCTCTTTATCGAGTTTGCAAAATGTCTGCATACAGGCTACAACTGAGACTGCAACAAGGAATGACAGAGATATGGAAAATGGAGTGCCAAGGAATGCGAAGCTCCCAGCAGTTCTGACTTGGCTCACGGGATGCTATTTGCGTATGCTGAAAGACAAGATATAGTCAAACTTCTCCATCGTCACATCCAGTTGGGTCCAGAATTGTGAACTAAGAAAGTAACACACTTCTGAAGCGCAACCTGGGAATTCCTTATCCAAAGCAGAACTTTGCCATGGGAGCCCGGCAACCAGCAAAACGCACACACAGAGCTTGAGAAATTAGCAGAACTATTTGTCAACCTTGCGTCCCGGTCCTTCTCTTTTGAAAAAGTCTAACACCAACATCTCTAGTTTTTTTCTATGGCTTTTAATTCCAAAATTGCTACAGCACGGATTTGTTATTTAAGGATTATTTTTTTTAAAAAATCCAACCAGTCCATCTAATTGCAAAGTGGGATTAATATTTCATTTCTGTAAAACCATGTAACTTTTCAAGCTAGGCCTGAAGCAATTTGCCCCTTTTTATACCTCAGCAGCAAAGGAAGCAGGCAGAAGGAAGAACCCTCCTCAGCTATCTTAACAAAATTCACAAGCAAAACTTCCTGATGGAAGGATTTTAAAAAGCATCAAGATTCTCCAGAGCTACATGGAGCATCATGTCAGGGGACCAGAGACCTTTCCATCACAAATAATGGAAAGTGTTTCACTGGGGTAGAAAAGGGGATCCTAAATATTTTTCCTATGGATCCCTTGTAAACTGCTGGGGGTCTTCTTGACAGACCACTACTGTTTTTTCTGCCAGACACAACATTTGCAATGTGCTATGCTAGATGACGGAATCCTAACACTGTAGAGTTAGGAGGGATCTCAAGCGTCATGTAGTCAAACCCACTGCAATGCAGGAATCACAGCTAAAGAACTACAACCTCAGAGGCCTCGCACCACAATCAAAGGAAGTAACAGCACTATTCTAATAATAATAAAAAATTGTCCAGTAGCACCTTAGAGACCAACTAAGTTTGTTCTGGGTATAAGCTTTCGTGTCAGGTCTTCAGATACACTGAAACAGAAGTCACCAGACCCTTATATATAGTGGGATGGTGGGGTTTTTCTCAGTAAGGTAGTAGGAGATGAGTGACTGGCTCAATGCGTATGGTAAACCTGTGACTGTTAACAACTGCAATTAGTCCTACAGGGGATAGTAAGCAATGACAAAAAATAGCTTTCGCACGTGTAATGAGACAATAATCCAGTACGTATCTCTATTCAGACCAGGTCTCTCCATAGTTTTCAGTTTAGTAATATGTTGTAATTCAGCAACTTCTCTTTCAAGTCTATTTCTGAAATTCTTTTGTAATAAGACAGCTGCTTTGAGATCCTGTATTTCTGCATCTGGCAGGAAAAACAATAGTTTTTATTTCGACTGCGTCAGACCAACAAGGCTACCTACCTGAATCTAGCACTATTCTATTTTGCCTTGGTCACACCTGGAGTCCTGTGTCCAGTTCTGGGCACCCCAGTCTAAGAGAACTAGAGACAAGATAAGACACTCAAGGGTCTGCAAACCAAACCTTGTGAGGAACAGTTGAGGGAATTGGGTATGTTTAGCCTGGAGGAGAGACTGAGAGGAGAAATCTCTGACGGGTTGTCTCATGGAGGAAGCAACAAGCTTGCTTTCTGCTTCTCCAGAGAGGAGGACCTGATGCAACAGACTCCAACTGCAAGGAAGGAGATGCCAACTAAACATCAGGAAGAACTTCCTGAGGATAAGTGCCTTCTATGGTGGAAGGGGCTCCCTCGAAAGGCGATGGACTCTCTCTCCTTCGCTGGAGGCTCTTAAGCAGAGAGGTGGGGTGGCTGTCTGGATCTGCCAGGGATCTGGCTGGCCACTGGGAAAACACACCAGGCAAGTTGCAGGAAAGGACATTCCAACTATAGACATATGGAAAAAAATTCTGACTGTAAGAGCTGCTGGACAGTGGAATGGACTCCCTGGAGAAGTGGTGGACTCTCCTTTCTTGGAGGGTTTTAAGCAGAGGCTGGCCATCTGTCCTGGATGCTTGAGCTGAGATTCCTGCACTGCAGGGGGATGGACTAGAGGACCCTTGGGGTCCCTCCCAACTCAATGATTCTATTATTCTTTAGCCCCAATTCCTTTTCTTTTATAGTACTTTTCATTGCATTTTTACATACAGTAAAAGAATCAGGAAAGAAGAAAAATGAAAACGAAACCACAACGATGGAAGGTCTCAACACAAGAACACTTTGCAGGCACGGCCAAACTTGGCCCTCCAGCTGTTTTGGGACTATAACTCCCATCATCCTTAGCTAACAGGACCAGTGGTCAGGGATGATGGGAATTGTAGTCCCAATGCATTTGCAGGGCCGAGTGTGGCCCTGCCTGCTAAGGGCTTCCATTCCCCTCCTTCTCTGCTCTCTTCCGCGTATTCCAAGTTCCCAGGCTCTACTATCCATCGCCTCCTTCCTCTTATGCTGCTGAATTTATCCAGGTCCTGCTAATCTGTTCACTTGTTCGCAGCGATCACAGCTGTCAACTTTTCCCTTTCCTTGCGAGGAAGCCTATTAGGAAGAAGGGAATTTCCCTTACAAAAAGGGAAACGTTGACAGCTATGATACGGATATTTAAAACACTTTGCAGTCCTTGATCGCCTTGTTCCCTTCCCGTTCTCGGGCTGCCGAGTCCCGCATCGCCCGGGGGTCCGGCTGGATGACCTCGGGGTGCCTTGCACGTGACCTTCCTGGCGCCGCCCACCTCCTCTCGCCCCCCCACCGGAATAAAAGTCCCGGCCCCGCCAAACCGCGCAGCCGCAGAAGCGGCCCCCTCCCCCTCCCCCGTCGCGAGGAGAGGGCGGGGCCCACGGGATGCGCGTGCACGAGACAGACGGAGAGAGAGGCGCGCGCCCCCTCGGCTCCCCCCCTTCCTTCCCGCGACGGACTGCGCACGCGCACAAGCGACGGGCCTGCGGGGGTTGCCGGGGCAACGGGGCCCCTCCCTGGCGACGAGGGCGGGTGGAGTGGGCCGCGGACGGGACACTGAGGGGGGGGGAAGTCGGGGTCGCCGCCTCCGCCACTCACCGGTTCCTCCGCGGCGGCCGCGACGACGGCGAGCGGGCCAAGCGAGCGCAGCGCACGGCCTCTGGCGCTCTCCTCACGGCGCATGCGCGGACGGGGCGGGGCCGCTTCAGAATCGAGCACGCAGAGCACGGCGGGAGGGGCGGGCCTCTCGCGGCGAGCGAGCTAATGGGAGCGCAGGTCCCGCCTTTCCCCCCTCCCTCCAGCCAGTGAGGTTCTCGGGCGCCGCAGATGGACGGGCCTCGCGGCGAGCGAGCCAATGGGAGCGCAGGTCCCGCCTTTCCCGCATCCCTCCAGCCAGTGAGGTTCTCGGGCGCCGCAGATGGACGGGCTCTGCTGCAGCGGCTTCTCTTCTCCTCCAGGGGGCGCCCGAGCCACGCTGCTCCGTGGGCGGGAGGGTGGGGGCCGCGTGGGAGGCCTTCGCGGGCCGCCCTCCTCCTCCTGCTGCCTCTGCACTGGGCCTGAGACCCTCAGATGGGTGGGAAAGGTTTTTTAGGCGTGTAGTGTAATTTCCTGATTTAATTTGATTTTTCCTTTTGAAAAATGCTGCCCCTCCTTGTTTTTCCAGGGCTGGGAACTCGTTTCTTGATGCAGCGCGTGTTTCCAGGCCGTCCCAAGGGCCACCGGCCAGAGATTTAATCATCATCATCATCATAATTGATTTATTTATTCCCCAGCCACTCTGGGCGGCTTCCAACAAAATATTAAAATACAATAATTTATCAAATATTAGAAACCAACTAAGTTTGTTCTGGGTATGTGCATGCACACGTCTTCAGAGACCTGAAGAAGTATCAGAAGGTATCTGAAGAAGTGTGCTTGCACACGAAAGCTTATACCCAGAACAAACTTCGTTGGTTTCTAAGGTGCTCCTGAACATTTTAATTAATTAATTAATTAATTAATTAATTAATTTAGATTGCGTCAGACCAACACGGCTACCTACCTGAATCTAGAATCATCAGATATTACCCTAAGAAACCAGAGGCCTTCCTCCTGGGCATAGTCGGCCAAATGGTGGTAAAGAAGGATAGAACTTTCTTTATGTATGCAACAACAGCAGCAAGAATACTTATTGCAAAGTATTGGAAGACACAAGAACTTCCCACGCTGGAGGAATGGCAGATGAAACTTATGGACTATATGGAATTGGCTGAAATGACTGGTAGAATCCGTGACCAGGGAGAAGAGTCGATGGAGGAAGATTGGAAGAAATTCAAAGACTATCTTCAGAAACACTGCAAAATTAAGGAATGTTAGAGTGATGTTGGACTGAAAACAAGTGGTTTCCAGCTGTACAGGTTAAAGTTAATGATAGACTAAGATTAAAGATTAAGATTAAAGATGTTTAAAGAAATGGAAATTTGATATTAAGAGGGAAAATTTTAACGTTATATGATACTAAGACCAAGGATTAGGTTTAAAGAAGTTGAAGTTATATATTTTAATATTTTATCAAACTAAAGATTGGGATTAAAAAAGTGGAAAAGAAACTGCTGGACAAACAATTTGGTTTGGAATACAAAAGAGGGAGGTATGAGGAAGTCCAGAAAATAAGTAACTTAAAAATGGAAATGGAAAAGAGATATTGTTTTTAATTGTTATGTTTTTTGTTTTTTTTTATTGTTGAATTTTGTGTTTTTTTTTGTGTGTGTTGTTGTTATATGTATTGCGTATGTTTTTTTTCTCTTTCTTTGTTGTTTAAAACCTTAATAAAAATTATTTAAAAAAAAAAAAAGAATCATCAGATATTAAAAGCTTCCCTAAACCGATGCTTGGGCTTTGGTTTCTGCCTGGCCGGGGGTTGGACTAGATGTCCCTCGGGGGTCCCGTTCCAATTCTACCATTCTGGGATGCTTTTCTGCAAGGCGCCCTGGGACGTTTGGGGCGCAGGGCGGGCAATAAAGGAAGGAAAGCACCAAAGTGTGAGGTTTTGGGGGGAGCGGGGGATTTCCCCCCCACACACCTTGCAGCTGCTCTTGCCTGTGAGTCATCTTGAACTTCTTCTGAGGAAAGGGCTGGGGGTATAAATAGAGAGGTGCAGGTGACCCCTTGTACTGAGATTGGCCTAGGGAGGGTGTATGTACTGAGTTGAATAGGATCCAAGAGGCAGCAGTCTGATTGGTCCGAGAACAATAGGATTCAGAATGCAGCAGTCTGATTGGTCCACAGGAGCCACCCAATCCAGCTCCAGGTGGAAGTGAATCCACAACCTGATTGGCCTACAGGAGAATCCTGGAATTAGCCAATCACGTGGGGCCCATTGTGTAAATAATGTATATAAAGCAGATACCTTGAGGGGGACTTCCATTCCTCCTCACCACTATGAGCTGAATAAAGAGCATGAAATCACTTTGCGACTCTGAGTATATTTCACTGGCGACGAGGATGGGATCCCGCTGAGCTGACTGCCACACACAGCACCGCAGCACCGCCACCTGCCGCACCGCTGCCTCGCACCGTGTATCCAGGCTTCAGCTCCGGGACCCAAGGAACTCAGAATGGCAACCGACAGCAGCTTCTCGCCGTTCAACCCAGCATCTGGAGACTGGGAAGTATATGCCTCCCGTTTCACCTTCCTCCTAGAAGCCAAAGGGGTCACCGATGAAGAAGACGCCAAGAAGAGGGCGATATTCTTCAGCATCTGCGGAGAGGAGACGTTCGAAATTGCCCGGGCTCTCCTTGCGCCTGAAGACGTTGCTACTGTTCCATACAAAACAATAATGGAATGGCTGAAGGGGCACTTTTCTCCGCAGCCCTCAGTGGTGGCTCGTCTAAATGCCTTCCACGCAAAGCGGCAAGCCCCTGGGGAAACCATAACTGGGTTTGTGACCTCTCTCCGCCAAGCCGCCCGGTTCTGCAACTTCTCAGAGCTGGAGAACATGCTTCGTGACTGCCTCGTCGGTGGCCTGAAGGATGAGAAGCTGCAACGACGCCTCTACGCTAAGAAGGACCTAACGTTCCAGGTCGCTCTGGAGGAGGCCCTGGCAACGGAAGCTGCCAAGAGGTCGACGCAAGAGGCACGGCCGAGCCTGCCATCCCAACCGAGGGTCCACCACGAAGACCTCACCGACAACTCAGGATCTGACATGGAGGAGGTGCACCGAGTACAGCAGCGCACCCAAGCAGCCCACATACCACAGCTGCCTCGACGAGAAGGAGGGAACTGCGCAAGCTGCAGGGAGAGTCACGAGAGGAGGATCTGCCATTTCCTCAACGCAGAGTGCAGGCAGTGCAGAAAATCGGGACACATCGCCCGGGTGTGTCGAGCTCGGCCCACCCGACGCCAGGCATCAGATGACCAATCCAAGAGCCCCAGGGCCCAGGGCCCAACGCACCAAGGCAACTCGACGGAGCTCACGGACTTCCAGGTATACCAGTTGCCCCACCCCAACGTAGAGAAAATTTATGTAGAAGTACAGATAGAGGGGGCCCCCTGCTGCATGGAGCTTGACACGGGTTCAACTCTATCCATACTTACAGCACGGACCTTACGGAAACCGTGTCCTCGTGGGGGTCCCAAACTCCGGCCGACCCCAATCCCCCTCCGGGACTTCCAGAACGTAAGGTCCCCACAATGGGGGTGGGGACCTTCAGGGTGCAATATCGAGGGCGGACGCGGCAACTGGACTTGCTTGTGGTCAATGGCCCCTACATTAGCTTACTGGGATTGGCATGGTTTGGACCACTGGGGTTAGCCGTCACCGGGGTGAACTACACAAGCTACAAATGGACGTGGACACCATATGCAAGGAATTTCCAGGGGTTTTCGATGGGACATTGGGACAGTATACACCCCCCCATTGCCTTACAGCTGAACCCCACAGTACGACCTGTCAGACTCAAGGCCCGCCGGGTCCCATTCGCCCTGAAACCCCGTATAAACAAGGAATTGGACCGCCTCGTGGAGCAAAGAGTGCTGGAGCCTGTGCCCAATGCCCCCTGGGAAACCCCGATCGTCACACCCGTCAAGCCTAATGGTTCGGTCCACACCTGTGCAGACTACAAATGCACCATAAACGAGGCCCTCACGGCCCACGCATACCCAGTGCCAGTGGTCAGCCATGTCCTCCGTTAGCCGTTATTATGAAATTGCTTTTTGTGGTATCTGGTTTTGAAACTTAGCTCTGGATATGACTCTTTTCGTCCAAAGAAACGAAGGCATGCTTTCACCCAAAGAATCGCAGGCCAGGCCTCCTTCCTCCAGGCCAGTGGGGAAATGGGGTCCCCCCCCCCGCCACTCTGCTGTCTGGCGTGGGGCAGTCCGAGGTTCCTTGGAGGGCTGCATCTATCAGTGCTCAGCCCAGCTCATTCAACTCAAAAGAGGCAGCTGGAAGTCCCTGCCTGGGGCTGGGTCCCTGCTGGCTTCCTGTCCCTGCATGCTGCTCTGGTTTCCCTTCCTCAGAGGCTTCTCGGGGCAAATCCAGGGCTGCGTCACCCGGGCCCTGTGGCTTCTGTGGGAAAAGGCCATGGGGGGTGCTGAGGCCCCTCCTGCAGGGGAAGAACAGCCAGGCCCTTCGCAGTGGCGTAGCAAAGTCAGGTGGTACCCGGGGCGGGAAATTTCTTGTTCCCCCCTCCCATTGAAATTATTAAAAGAAGGAAAAATAAAATGCTTTCAGTTGCAATTGTTATTTTCTGGTTTACAGTGGTACCTCTGGATGCGAACGGGATCCGTTCTGGAGCCCCATTTGCATCCAGAAGCGAACGCAACCCGCATCTGTGCGTCTGCATGTGCGCAGGTCACGATTCACCGCTTCTGCGCATGCACGTGACGTTATTTTGAGCGTCTGCACATGCGCAAGCGGCGAAACCCGGAAGTAACGCGCTCTGTTACTTCTGGGATGCCGCAGCGCGCAACCCGAAAATACTTATCCCGAAGTTACTTCAACCCAAGGTATGACTGTATTTACTTAACATTGTGAGCATAAGCCCTTACCGTAAAACCTGCTTTTCACGATGAGAATTTCTTATGAATGGGGTTTTTTTGCTTAATTTCGCTAGCTTTCAGCCTACTGTAGATGTGGACTGAAGGTAGCTGAGGTGCTGTGTGAGTACAACTGCAAAAAACAAGCACCAGTACAGATATGCGCCCACTCTTAAAGAGCTTACCCAGAATAAAAGAAGAGCCAGTGGTGGAGGAAGGGGGTGGGGGGTGCAGGCCGCCCCGGGTGTCATCACTGAGGGGGGTGACAATGACAAAAAATAGGTTGTTTTTTTAAAAAACTAATTGGGCTCACAAAACACCCGGGGCAGCCCGCACCCACCACACCCCCTCCCTAGACCTCTGCCTTCAGATGTCTTCTAAAAGTCAGATAGTTGCTTATTTCCTTGACATCTGGTGGGAGAGCGTTCCACAGGGCGGGCGCCACCACCGAGAAGGCCCTTCGCCTGGTTCCCTGTAACCTCACTTCTGGCAGGGAGGGAACCACCAGAAGGCCCTCAGAGATGGACCCCGGTGTCTGGGCTGAACGATGGGGGTGGAGATGCTCCTTCAGGTTCAGTGGTGCCTCGCAAGACGAAATTAATCCGTTCCACGAGAGTCTTCGTCTAGCGGTTTTTTCGTCTTGCGAAGCAAGCCCATTGACGGATTAGCGCTATTAGCGGTTTAGCGGCTATTAAAGGCTTAAAGGCTTAGGGGATTAGCTGCTAAAAGGCTATTAAAGGCTATTAAAGGCTTAGCAGATTAGATAAAGGGGGGGAAAAGCGAAAAATCTCAAGACTCGCAAGATATTTTCGTCTTGCGAAGCAAGCCCATAGGGAATTCGTCCTGCGAAGCAACTTCAAAACGGAAAACCCTTTCGTCTAGCGGTTTTTCCGTCTTGCGAGGCATTCGTCTTGCGGGGCACCACTGTATACTGGTCCGTTCACAGGGCAGTGCTGGATTAAACCCTGTGGAGACCCCTTGGCAGTCACACTTTGGGCAGGGGGCAGGCCTCCTGCGCACACTGGAATATCATTGAATTAAGAAAGCTTGATTGTCGTTTTTTTTAAGGTCAAATCACTATTTCCATCCATTGTTGCAGGACCCCTAAAAAGTGTGGGGCCCATAGGCCAGTGCCTACTCTGCCTATTTGGTAATCCGGCCCCTTTGGCTGGAGGATTAGCTTTGGCTGTTCCCCATAATGAAATGGAAGGCTCAACAATTGTCAGGCACTTTCTTTTTTTAAAAAAAAATTAAATAAACTTTATTAAACAAGAAAATACCTTAAAATACACACGAAACAAGCATACAATACAAACATTCTATAAGAAAAAAGAAAAGAACATAGTTGCATATAGAGTGAAAATCAGTGAAAGAAAAGAAACTTCTGACTAAACCCACTGTACTATTTTGCCTTCAAGAATTTTTACACAGTTTCTTATTAAAATTTTTCCTTATCTTAGTTTAAACTTTTTCTAATGCTTCCTTCTATCACAAGACTCATTCGATATCTGCCAGGAAACATTTATTATCACAGTACCCTTTGAGATATTCCTTAATTATAATCCATTCCTTATTAACATCTTGTGTTGAGTTTTCTCTCACTGTCCCAGTTCTCCTTGCTAGCTGTAAATACTCTATTAATTTAGCTTGCCATTCGATCTTTAAAGGGATGGTATCGCTTTTCCAATTTCTTGCTATTGGAATCCTTGCTGCAGTTGTTAATTGTCAGGGAGTTTCGGATGCTCAGCTGCCCTGTGTGTTTACAACAACCCTGTAAAGTAGGCCAGTACTATGCCCTCCCCAAATTGCAGCTGAATCCCTCGCAGATTGGCATCAAACCTCTGCTTAAAGGCCTCCAAATAAGGACAGTCCACCACCGTCCCAGAGAGTCTTACCTTCAGAAAGTTCTTCCTAATGTTTAGTCCAAATCTCCTCTCCTCTCTTCCCCTCGCCTCTGGAGCAGCAGAAAACAAGCTTGCTCCCTCTGGCAGCCCTCAGATATTGGAAGATGGCTCTCCTCTCAGTTTCCTCTTCTCCAGGCTAAACATACCCAGCTGCCTCAACCGTTCCTCATCAGGCTTGGTTTCCAACTGCCTCAACCGTTCCTCATCAGGCTTGGTTTCCGGACCCTTCATCATCCTGGTCGCCCTCCTCTGCTCACCTTCCAGCTGCTCAATCTCCTTCTTCAGCTAGCCTGCACTGACTGGCAGGAGCTCTCCAGGGTTTCATATGGGGGGGCATTCCCAGCCCCCTCCCCCCGGAGATGCCGCCCAGGACAGAAGACCTGCATGCCAAGCAGGTGGTCCAATCCTGCACTATGGAGACCCCTAGACTGCCAGGAAGGATGTGGGGATGGCCTCCCTTTGGAAATGGGACTGCAGGAAGAAGGATGTGAAAGGAAGAGGCAGCCCATCTGCAGGCGGAACAGCAGGTGCCTCTGAGTTCTGAAGGAGGAGCATCATCTCTTGGGAGGAGCCAGGTCCAGGTGAGGGGGTTGCCATGGTAACAAGGACCTGACCTCCTTTGTGACATCACTTGCTTCTCCCTTAAAAGCCACCAGCTGACTTGCAGGTGGCCATTGTAGGTTAGTAGTGAGGCGAGAGAAGGAGAGAGGAGTTGGTGGTGGTTGGCAGATTGGGAGAGGCGTTTAGTTGATTATTTTCTCAGTTTCTTATACAGTGGTACCTCGGGTTACATTCGCTTCAGGTTACATACGCTTCAGGTTACAGACTCCGCTAACCCAGAAATAGTATCTCGGGTTAAGAACTTTGCTTCAGGATGAGAACAGAAATCGCGCTGCGGCGGCAGCAGGAGGCCCCATTAGTTAAAGTGGTGCTTCAGATTAAGAACAGTTTCAGGTTAAGAACAGACCTCCAGAACGAATTAAGTACTTAACCCGAGGTACCACTGTATTGATTTTGATTTGATTTATTACTTTTATTTATTTTTATTTGATTTATTATTTTACTTTTTTATTTTAACACTTTCATTTTACTTTTTATTTTATTTTTGTGTTCTTTATTTTCATATTTTTTATTTTACGTTTTTAGTTTGTGCACATTTTGTATCTATTTATTTTATGCATTGACAAGTAGTTACGGGTAAGTGTAGGGTTAAGGCGGGGGTTAGGCTTAGGCTTAGGCTTAGGGCTGGGGTTGGGGTTGGGGTGAGAGTTAGGCTTGGGTGGGCATTTTAGATAGCTACTTTAGAGAGGAGGGTGGGAATTTTTTGTGAGCAAAATGTGCAGGCTGTAAGTAGGATTCTTTCCCTTTCTCTTGGTCTCCTGGGGGGGTGTGAGTCCTGGGGTCCCCTGCACAGCCTTAGCTCTCTGGAAATCGACCTGGCCCGTCTTCTCCAGAGAGCTCAGCTCCTCCACACTCTCTCCCTGCCTTCCCCTTTTCTCTCCCCTCTCATCATTTACATTTACTAGGACATTCCTAGCCCACTTTCCTCCCAGGAGCTCCAGGTGGCCTTCATGGTTCTCCCGGCCACCAATTGTTATCTTCACAGCAGCCCTGCCAAGTAGGCTAGGCTGGCCCAAGGTCCACCAGGGAGCTTCATGGCTGAGTGGGGATTTGAACCCAGCTCTCCTAGTTCAGCCCCCCAACTGCTACACCTCTGCCTGGCTCCATTTTGCATCTCTCCAGCTGCCCTTCTCCCCCTTCCTGGGGGTCTCTCTGGCTCCAAGGAAGACTCCACCACCTTCCTCATGTCCTGCTCCTCTTCTGGGACCCCTTGGGGCTTGGAGGACCCTCCTAGGGGTCTCCTCCCTCTCTAGGAAGGGCAGGGCTGTCCTAAGAAGAGGAGGCAGAGAGCAGCCCTTTAACAGCTGGCAATGCTTCTCTTTCCTTTGGGCTGGAGCTCTTGAACCCAGAGCACTTGGGACCTCCTTTCTCCCTCTGCCCGCCCTTCGTGCTCTGGGCTGCCTCTTTCCAGCTCTAGTGATACCCTTTCAGGTCACTGAACTGGAGAGAGATGGAAGGAATTGGGCAAGACTGCCTTCCTCACACACAAACGCCCCCCAAGAATTGGGGCTGCCGGCTTCTGAGTCGCTCTCGCCGCTCATCTCTTCTAGGTTCAGGTGCTTAAGGCACCTCTTCAGACGCTGCAACAGGGCTGCCCCCCAGCAAGGCCCAGAGCAGCCCATGGTGCCAGGTGACCAAGTGGCCCTCCTTTGGGGGACAGAGGAGGGCAGGAGTGGGCATGGGGGGCAGCTAGTCAAAAGATGCAAAGAGCCAGACGGCTGGATCCGACCCAAGGTCCATCTGGGCCAGCGTCTGGAAACCCACCCATCCCCAGTGGCCAACCCGTTTTGTGGAGTCTGATGGAGGAAGCAGGGGGCTGGGCTGGGGGGCAGTTGTCAGCGGGAGGGGCACCTTCCCTGAGGAGCCACGTTCTGGGGGAAGGAGGCCGGGATTGGCCTCCAAGGCCTGGGGTGTCCCTCCCCTGTAGTAGGACTTGGAATCCAGGGGAAAACTCTTGGAATAGCCTTGCCAGAGGCTCAGGGACGAACTCACCTCTTCCCATGTCCTTCTCTTTGCAGTTCTGCTGAGGTTCCACATCCCTGCCCCAGGGGTGAGTCCTGGAGAAAACAAGAGCAGGGAGTGGACCCCTCAGACCTGCCCCCCACTGTCCGGGCTCTTTGCCCCCCACTTTTGCCTTTCAGCTGCTGGAGGAAGATCAGTTGTTCCTCCTTGAGATCATCCAGAACTGCCCGGCAGCTCGGCTCAGGGGGCTCTGAACCCTGAAGTGCTCCAAGTCCCTTACCTTGGGAAAAAAAATTATTTTAAAAACACATATTTTTGCCATTTTGTCACCCCCCTCAGTGATGACACCCGGGGCAGCCCGCACCCAGCACCCGCCCCTTCCTTCTCCTGTGGCCCTTCGGCCGTAGGACTTTCCAGGGGTTGGGACCGTCAGCCCTCCTAAGCCGAGTGGCCAGTCGTGCCCCCCAATGGTCGGGGTTTTGCAGGCAGGAGCCCTCTGAATACCAGAAGCCGAGGTTTGCTCATACGAAGTGGATCAAAACAAAACCACTTTTAAAAAGGTTTGGAAACTTTTGAGGAAATGCAACAGAAAGTGTGGGATGAACATATGACTGTGAAAACATCCCGCAAGCAAATCAGGAAGAATGGGAGATGATGATGTTGTTTGCTTTATATCCCAGCTTTTCCTCCAAGGAACTGAAGGTGGCAGCCCTGCTTCTCACTCTCCTGGTTTAATCCCTTCAACAAGCCAGCCAGGGAGGCTGTGCTGAGAGGCAGCGACTGGCTCCCCAGGGAGCTCCGTGATGCCCAAGTGGGGGGATTTGAACCCTGGTCCAATGACAAAACCTAGACAGCATCTTCAAAAGCAGAGACATCACCTTGCCAACAAAGGTCTGTATAGTTAAAGCTCTGGTTTTCCCAGTAGTGATGTATGGAAGTGAGAGCTGGACCATAAAGAAGGCCGATCGCCGAAGAATTGATGCTATCAGCCCTGAGTGCTCACTGGAAGGACAGATCCTGAAGCTGAGGCTCCAATTCTTTGGCCACCTCATGAGAAGAGAAGACTCCCTGGAAAAGACCCTGATGTTGGGAAAGATGGAGGGCACAAGGAGAAGGGGAGGACGGAGGACGAGATGGTGGGACAGTGTTCTCGAAGGCACCAGCATGAGTCTGACCAAACTGCAGGAGGCAGTGGAAGACAGGAGGGCCTGGTGTGGGGTCACGAAGAGTCAGACATGGCTAAATGACTAAACAACAACAACAACAACAGCGAACCCTGGTCTCCCAGGTCCACGCTCTAACCATCCCCCCCTTGCTCTCGGAACATTTAGAGGCAAAGCACTGAGGGACGAAAGCTCCTTGTCGTTCAACTTCCCCACCAACAAACCAGAACGAATGCTCAGTAAAGACTGGCTGTAACCTCAGCTCCATGTAAGCAACCTGCAGCAAATCAGGTTGCATGATCAACAAGCAGGTTGTCCGGAGGGGGCACATGAAGCCCCCTCCTCCAAGGCAAGGCCTGTCCAGACCCCTTCAGATCCCCTTCACTCTCAGAGCACAGGTCAGGGGCAAGAGAGAATGTGCTACCTGATTCCCCCCCCCAACGCACAAGAAGGTGTGTCCTTATCTGAAGCAAATCACTGCAGGTGCTTCCCATACGACACCCCCAGGTATAGAGTCATGCCTCTTTTTTGGACCGCCCCCCCTGCAATATTCTTCAAGGTCTGGTCCCATGAGTAAAAGTCTCCCTGATGACCTCTATGATCTTGCAGATCTAGAAGCAGGCAGGGCAGTTTCCTCTGCCCAGGCCAATGGCTCATCTTGTCCAGAATCCTGTTCTCGCTGTGGCCAAGCAGATATAAGCAGGATTCAAGCCAAGAGCAATACCCGCCCCTCCTGTGGCTTCCAGCAACTGGTCTTCAGAGGCGTTGCTGTCGCATGGACCAGTGGTACCAAATAGCATGGGAAACAGCCCTACTAGAAAAATTAACCAATAAACTGAAACTGGGACAAATAGAAGAAGACACCTTCACCCCGGTATGGCTCCCCTTTATCACATACACAGCCCAACAAGACAATGACAAAAATCCACCAATGGCATACAAATCAATATGGCTAACCTGACCCAAAACACCCACCCACCCCACTCACACACGAAAACAAAGACCACCACAGCCAACCACACCCTGGGCCAACCCCAACCTCTCTCACCACCAAAGGAACACAAGCGAACAGCAAAGAACCTGCACAAGTAACGCTGACACCAAACCGTACATATATTAAGTAAAATAGAAACATCGCCACCTGACCCCACCCCCACTCACCTTCCCCCCTCCACCTCTTTCCCCCTTTTCTTCCTAATGTCTCAATCGATGAAACTGATTTGTAAAAATGTTACATGGGGGGGTGGGGGGGATACAAGAGAGAGACATTGCACACACTTTTGTAAAGCAAGAAAATCTTTAATTAAGAAGAAGAAGAAGAAGAAGAAGAAGAAGAAGAATTGCTGTCTCCAGCTGTGGGGGCAGAGCATTCTGGCTAGTGGCCACCGAGAGCTGCTCTCCTCCTCCATGAACTTGTTTCATCCTCTCTTTGAGCCATCCAAGTTGGTGGCCATTCCTGCCTCCTGTGGCAGGGAGTTCCACAGCTCAGCTATGTCCTGCATGAAGAAGGACCTTCATTTGCCCTGAATCTCCCAGCATTCAGCTTCATGGGACGTCCACGGGTTCTAGCGCTAGCAAAGAGGGAGAAAAACTTCCCTGTCCGCTGTCTCCATGCCAGGCAACCCAGTCAGATGGGCAGGGCACAAATAATAAATTATTATCATTATAAACTTTGCACGTCACCTCTCACTTGCCTTTCGCCTAAACAAAAAAGCCTCAGACACTGCCCCCTTTCTTCAACTCTGCCTCTCCAGCTTCTCCACTCTGAAACCTGGTTTCCACAACTCAAGGGAAGCCCCGCACAGAGTGCATCGTGGTAGTCTAAGCATTTGGTTATCAGTGTGTGAGTTACAGCACTCAGGCCATCCTTGCCCAGGAAATAAAGAAGAACCTTGTTTTGTCTGCCTTGAATCTCCCGCTGCTCACCTCCCTCCAGTTTTCTAGACCTGCTTCTTACAAATGCCCTTGCAAACCTCCCGCTGCTTCGTTCCTTCATGCTCAGGCGGCCTGCCAGGAAGACGGCGCCTCGTGGCTGCTGTTCTGCCTCAGGCACCCAGGTGCCTTTGCACAGCGCTGGGCCTCCCTCACCTCCAGCTGCCCTGGAGGCAGCTGAGCTCGCTTCCTTGCCCGGGCCCAGAGGCCCCACCTGCACCAGAACCGGGCAACAGGCTGCCCTGTAGCCTGAGGCTGCCCGGAGGGGTCCACCGTGAGCCAAAGTGAAACAGAAAACCCCTGAATAGAACTCTGATCTACCTGTTTTTCTAAATTCAGATTATTTGGAGGAAGGCTAGCATCTCCCCAAGGCAGAAACGCCCTCCCCACAAGTCACTCTGTGGCTCTGGCTGGGGCTGGGGATCACAGAATCCTAGAGCTGGAAGGGTCGTCAAGCCCAGCCGCCTGCAATGCTGCCATCCAGGTTTTCTCTCTGCTTGGGAAGGCTTAGCCTGTGGAAACAGCCTCTGCCAACGTGGCACCTTCCGTCTGCCCATAGCAGCACAACCCAGAGTTGGGGATCCAAGCCCTTTGGAGGGCATGAATTTGGGGACTGGTCCCTGCTCCCCTCAACTGCACTGGGGTGGAACAAGATGATGTCGTATCATCTTTGAAGTCTCTCAGTCTCACTCACCTCACAGAGTGTTTGTTGTGGGGGAGGAAGGGAAAAGGAGATTGTTAGCTGCTTTGAGACTCCTTAAAAGGTAACGTTAAAGGGACGCCTGACCATTAGGTCCAGTCGCAGACGACTCTGGGGTTGCGGCGCTCATCTCACTTTATTGGCCGAGGGAGCCGGCGTACAGCCTCTGGGTCATGTGGCCAGCATGACTAAGCCGCTTCTGGCAAACCAGAGCAGCGCACGGAAACGCCGTTTACCTTCCCGCCAGAGCGGTACCTATTTATCTACTTGCACTTTGAGGTGCTTTGAGGTGCTTTCAAACTGCTAGGTTGGCAGGAGCAGGGAGCTCACCCTGTTGTCGGGATTCGAACCGCTGACCTTTTGATCAGCAAGTCCTAGGCCCTGTGGTTTAACCCACAGCGCCACCCGCGTCCCTTGAGACTCCTTAGGGTAGTGATAAAATGGGATATCAAATCCAATTTCTTCTTCTTCTTCTTCTTCTTCTTCTTCTTCTTCTTCTTCTTCTTCTCCTCCTCCTCCTCCTCCTCCTCCTCCTCCCGCACCTATTTCTGCAACCGCAGCGGGCGCTGCAAACTCTCCAGGGGGTTGACTGCCCCCGCAAAGGCGCCCTCCTCCTTTGTCTTCCGAGACAGACGGATGCCAACCCTGGGCGGGGGTTCCCAGGGGTCCTATAGTCCAGCCCGCTTGCAATGCAGGCGCCTCAGCTGCAGGATCCCGACAGCTTCGTGGGCATCATTTGGGCGCCGCTGCGAATGGTCCCTAAGTGCGGCGCAAGGGGCGCCCCGATGTCCCGGGGGGGGGCTGAAAGCTGCAGGGACCGACCACCGCCGAGCCGCCCCCTCCTCGGATCGGGGCGAGGAGTCCCGCGCCTCCCCCGCTCCGCTTCTCCCGGCAGGGAGATTCCGGGCTGTCGCGGCCGCGGGGGCGAGCCTCGGAGGGGCTCCGCCTCGCCGGATTGGCTGGCTGAGGACGCCCCCTCGGGCTCCGTCGCCGCCCCTCAGCCCGGCCTTATAAAGGGGGCGCCGCCCGCCGGCCAGAGCAGAGATGCGGTCGCGCCTGGTCTCTTGGACGGCGGCGTGGGGCGGCTGCGCCTTCCTGGCGGTGAGTGGCGCTTTCGCTTTCGATTCGGGAGGGAGGGCGCCGCGCCCACCCATGCCCTCCCTCCCAGTTAGAGATCCCCGGGCGAGGGGCGGGCAGGCGGGAGCCCATCCCGGGGAAAATCCCCCCGCGCCGATCCAGCTCCAGTTCCTCTTTCGGCGCCTGGGAATCCCCCTCGTCCCGGAGCTGCTGCCTCGCCCTTATCCGGGGAGGGGGGGGGTCCTCACTCTAGTTGTGACTTGATCGATTTACCAAAGCGATCCCCAACCTAGCGGCTTCGCAGGTCTCACCAACCTAGATCCCCAAAGTAAACCGGCGCGCCCTCCGGGGCCCCCTCTCGCTCCTTTGGCCACTGGGGGGGCGGATCTGGACTTCACGGCCCTCGTCTTCTCCCGGCCGGCATTCCTGCATCGCAGGGGGTTCGACTAGATGAGCCTTGGGGGTCCCTTCCGACTGCCATTCCCGAACTTGACGGCCCCTTTGGACGGAGCAGTGCCAAGCCGCGTCCTTGGAGGACGGGGAGGGTCGCCTTCCTCCGGCTCCTTCCGTCCGGGGAGGCGGGACCGCTGCCCGCCCCCCAAGCGCGCCGCTCTGGGGACCCGAGAGAGAGAGAGAGAGCGACCCTGCCGGGAGCCAGGCTTTCCTTTCCCCGGGAAAAGGGAGCCCCGGTGGCTCAGCCTTCCGGCAGGTTCCCTTTGACTCCCCTGCAGCTTGGACGGTGGCGGGGGGGGGGGGCGGGCTGCCCCCTTGTGGGTCTCTCTGGGCGGATGGAAACCGGATCCCAAAGGGTGGGCTAAGAGGCGGCCGGATCCCGCATCTCTCGGGGGCGCAGAGGTTTCCAAGGCGAGCGGCGCCCAGATGCGCTTTGACGCGCGCTTTGCTCCTCGCGCCGGAGAGAAAGCCTTGCGTGCCGCTTGGATTGTGGCTTTGGGGGAGCTGCGGGGGGGGGGATGAGGATGATGAAGATGGGGCTGTGACTAACCCTCCTCCTCCTGCGGTGCAGTGCCTGGCGTTGGAGCTGCGGGGCCCGAGCTGCTCCGTCACCGAGTACCAGGAAGGGGGACGGTGCTGCCAGAAATGTGGTCCAGGTAATAAGCTGTGCGGACGCGACTCTGGCTTTTCCTCTTGGGGCTCCTCCGACCCCCCCCCCATCCTGCCCAAGAGCCCCTCAGGGCTGGGGGGGGGGCTTCTCACGGGAGGCGGGCAAAGGGACGGTGTCGACAGCACGGTTTCTTTATTAAGTGACATGCCGCTTATGTGCTTTGTAACGGCTTTGAAGCGCTTTGCGCTGATGAAATCAACGGGGAAAGCCGCACTGTAATTAAAGCACACAATCGTGATTCTTTCACGGCATTAAAAACCCCTTAATTAAAAGACACAGCTAAATCAGCCAATTAAAAGGCTTTCCAATTAAAACAGTTGATACAGTTAAGATTAGACGTTTGAGCTGAGGGGGATGTTTATACCTATTTATTGCGTTTCCATCCCTGTTTTCTTCAAGGGGGTCTGCTTGGTTCTCCCCCCCCACTCCATCTCATTTAATCCTCAGAACAGCCCTGTGAGGTAGGCTAGGCTGAGAGGCAGGGACTGGTCCCCAAGATCTTCATGGCTGAGTGAGGATTTGAACCCTGATCTCCCAGGTCCAGCGCTCTAACCACTGTGCCACACTCTCTTGAATACAAATGACTCTCTGAAAATCAGAGTTGCATAGATAGCCCATCTGGGCAGATTCCATCCACTAAAAGCACTTTTCCTCACAACCTTTGAGCCAGTTGGGGATCACAGAGTAGGAAGGGACCCCAAGGGCAATGTCTCTGGAAATAAAACTGCCCCAGTCCAAAACCTCCCCCCCCCCAGGCCCTCCTCTTGTCTCTCCAGCAACACACCTGGGCCATTCAGGACCAGAGGAAGGTGGGGACCCCTTTGGGCTGCTTGGGCCAGATCCTTCTGGGCAGGGTTGTCCAACTGTCAGTCATACGATGTCACTATGATGTCATAATTTACAGGTGGGTTATCCCGCCCACCTGTCCAAACTCCTTGCGGAGCTGGAGGAAACCCCAGGAAGAATCCTGTGGAAGAATCCTAAGGAGCTTGAGGTGACATACATGGCTCCCCCCCCCCCGTTAATCCCCACAACAACCCTGTGAGGCTGAGAGAGAGGGGCGGTGACCAGCCCCCAAGCCCCCCCCCCCATTGAGTTTCATGGCTGATCGGAGATTTGAGCCCTGGTCCATCCCCAGGTCTTAGCCCAGCACTCTAGCCACTGAGCCACACTGCCTCTTAAGATGCAGCAGTAAAAGGGGGGAGGCGATGAGGGAGAGAAAGAAGCTTCACTTGCCCCTTCATTCTCTCCCCTCAACCGCTGTGTCTGCTGGGTGTGTGTGTGGGAAGGACGGCCAAGCCCACCTGGGCTGCCCCCCCTTTCAACCTCTGAGGACCGGAAGGATCAGGGCAGCTCTGGGAGGGAGGAGCGGGTGCCAAGGGATGGAAATGGGGCCCCCTCCTTGCGCAAGGGGCGGGGGGCATGGGGGAATGCCTTGTTCCGGGAAAGGAGCCCTCAGGACCCGATTCTCCCTTGGGACACCCATCCTTCTCAGTCTGATGCCATCTCTAGGGCTGCTCAGGATTTCTCCACCCTAGGAAGAGCCTGTTGCTGGATCCGACCAAAGGCCCACCTAGTCCAGCCTCCTGCTCTCCCCGTGGCCGACCAGATGCCCGTAGTGGGGATTCAACACAAGAGCAACTCTTCCCCTCCTGTGGTTTCCAGCAACTGGGATTTCATTTTCATTTTCACTTTTAATTTGTGTATCCCCTTCCTATATTACTGTACACAAAGCAGTTTCCAGCCTCAAAATATACAACACACACCTACAGTGATGGCCAAACTTGGCCCTCCAGCTGCTTTGGGACTACAACTCCCATCATCCCTGACACCACTGGTCCTGTTAGCTAGGGATGATGGGAGTTGTAGTCCCAAGCAGCTGGAGGCCCAAGTTTGGCCATAATAAACTAATCCAATATAAACAGTCATTGTCAAACATAACTTTGAAATGTTTATTTGAAATCAAATAAAGTAATATTCAATAATCTATTAGAATATGATAGTACACAATAAAATTAACACTCAGAAGCTCAGCAAATGATAACAGAAATTCACTCTTAATAATTACAATAACTACTTACTAAACGATGATCAATGAAAATAACTACAATTTACGGTGCATAAAATACCACAATATATACAAAATAATGTGAAAGGATGAAATCGAGAAACAAAGACACACAACTTCTAACACTACTTTTTCCTGTGGGAGGGAGTTCCATAGGCCAACTGCACCGCTCCTGCGTCCTGAATCTCCCAGGAAGGTGGACTTTCCAAAGAGTTTCCCCATACCAAGCAGATGTTGCTCTGCTGCTGAGCCCTGGCCCCTTCCTGCCCAACCACCCCAGGCCATGCCAGTCTCCGCTGGAATCGCATCTGCCCCCCTCGCAGGCACGGTCCTTTCCCTGCCCAAGGTGCCAGCGCTCACTGGGTCTCCTCGTGTGTTTGCAGGCACCAAGGTGCAGGCGCTCTGCTCCGAGAGCTCAGAGACGCGGTGCGTAGCCTGCGAGGCTCAGCACTTCCAGGCCGGCTGGACCAAGGAGAAGCACTGCGCCCCACAGGCCTATTGCGACGAGAGTAAGTGGGGGTCCTCTGTGTGTGTCTCCTTCTCCCTTCACCACCGGACAGACTCTGGCCATGTGCTGCCTCCAGAGGCGGCTCTGCACAGCCCACTATCATATCACGGAGTTGGAGAGCTGGGAATAAGGCCCATATATTTCGCACCTGACAACCCACGAGCCCCTTTGGTTTCAGATGGGTATCCGAATCTACAAAGCCCAGGGCACAATTTTTCATGGCCCTCTAGGGCCTCATTAGGGACGCGGGTGGTGCTGTGGGTTAAACCACAGAGCCTAGGACTTGCTGATCAGAAGGTCGGCGGTTCAAATCCCCACGACGGGGTGAGCTCCCGTTGCTCGGTCCCTGCTCCTGCCAACCTAGCACTTCGAGAGCATGTCAAAGTGCAAGTAGATAAACAGGTACCACTCTGGCTGGAAGGTAAACGGCGTTTCCATGTGCTGCTCTGGTTTGCCAGAAGCGGCTTAGTCCTGCTGGCCACATGACCCGGAAGCTGTACGCCGGCTCCCTCGGCCAATAAAGCGAGATCAGCGCCACAACGCCAGAGTCGGCCACGACTGGACCTAATGGTCAGGGGTCCCTTTACCTTTACGGCCTCATTGGCCAGAGGCGTAGAGCAAAATATACATCAGGAAGCTTCGTTTGGTCAGAATCGAGTCTATACTTCTGGAGTTAATAATAGACTCATAGAATCCATAGGAGCTGGAAGGGGACCCATGGGTCATCTAGTCCAACCCCCTGCAATGCAGGGATCACCATTAAGTATCCATGACAGATGGCTATCCGATCTCTGCTTAAAAACGTCCGAGGAAGGAGAGCCCACCGCTTCCCCAAGGGAGACTGTTCCGCTGTTGAAACTTTCCGACGGCCAGAAAGTTCTTCCTGATGTTGAGTCAGAATCTCCTTCCTTGTAACTTGAAGCCATGGGTTCGAGTCCTACCCTCTGGAGCGGCAGAAAACAAGCTTGCTTCATCTTCCATGGGGCAGCCCTGGAGCTATTGGAAGGTGGCTCTCAGGTCTCCTCTCAGCCTCCTCTTTCCCAGGCTATACACACCCAGATGCTTCAACCGCTCCTCATCAGGCTGGGTTTCCAAGGCCTTGATCTCCACCCTCCCCTCTCTCTTCCCTGCTTGCGGGTTTCCCAGACTCTGCATCTGCTTGGCTGCTGGACTCAGATGGCAGCTCCAAGGCTCTCCTTCTTCTTCTCTCTCCTCCTCCAGATGCCGGTTTCTTTGTGTTCACGGAAGGGGACGCCACGCGGAATGTCATCTGCCGCTGTCGGACCGGCACCCACTGCTCCAGCCGGGAGTGCCTGACCTGCAGGGTGGACCGAGAGTGCCCAGCGGGCGAAGGCGTCCAGCGCCAAGGTGAGCCAGAAGGAGGAGGAACACGAGGGGCTGCTGGGCTGGGCTCTCTCCCTTGTGTGGTGGATTTACTCACTCTGCACATGCTCACATCCCAGGGATGAACCGAGCTCATCCTTTCTATGAACAGATACAGAGGCAAGCCCCACATCCTCTCCCATGGTATCCTATGGGTCCCATGGATGCTTTTGTTGCAATTACAGCATTTCCGGGGGTTGGACTCGATGACCTTGGGGGGTCCCTTCCACCTCTGCAATTCTAGGCTGGGGATTGTGGGGTGTGCGGAAATCGACTGGACCTTCCCTGCCGGTGGGATTTCTCCCCACACCCAGACAGCCCTGGAGGGGTATTGCTGCAGGAGCTGCATGGACCCCCCCAGGCCCCCCACCCTGCAGATATGAGGGCTACTGGAGCTGGAGCCTGTGGCCCCAGCCCCAGCCGGGATGCCTCAGGGCCCTGGCATGTGACGCTGCCTCTCGTGTTCCTTCCAGCCACCCACCTGAACGACACGGTCTGCGTGGCCTGCCCTCCTGGCTCCTTCTCCAACATCTCTTCTGCCACCGCTCGATGCCAACCCTGGAGCAGGTGAGATCAGCGGGACGGGACGGGGGGGGCAGTCGACCTGGAGCCGGTTGGAAGATGGATGGCGGCTAACAGATTGAGGTTGAATCCCGACAAGACAGAAGTACTTTTTTGGGGGGATGGGGCGGGCAGGTGTGGAGGACTCCCTGGTCCTGAATGGGGAAACTGTGCCCCTGAAGGACCAGGTGCGCAGCCTGGGAGTCATTCTGGACTCACAGCTGTCCATGGAGGCACAGGTTAATTCTGTGTCCAGGGCGGCTGTCTACCAGCTCCATCTGGTATGCAGGATGAGACCCTATCTACCTGCGGACTGTCTGGCCAGAGTGGTGCATGCTCTAGTTCTCTCCCGCTTGGACTACTGCAATGCGCTCTACGTGGGGCTACCTTTGAAGGTGACCCAGAAACTGCAATTAATCCAGAATGTGGCAGCTAGACTGGTGACTGGGAGCAGCCGCCAGGACCACAACACCGGTCCTGAGAGATCTGTATTGGCTCCCAGTACGTTTCTGAGCACAATTCAAAGTGTTGGTGCTGACCTTGAAAGCCCTAAATGGCCTCGGCCCAGACCTGAAGGAGCGTCTCCACCCCCATCATTCAGCCCAGACACTGAGGTCCAGCTCCAAGGGCCTTCTGGCAGTTCCCTCATTGCGAGAAGTGAGGTTACAGGGAACCAGGCAGAGGGCCTTCTCGGTGGTGGCGCCCTCCCTATGGAATGCCCTCCCTTCAGACGTGAAGGAAATAAGCAGCTATCTTCTCTTTAAAAGACATCTGAAGGCAGCCCTGTTTAGGGAAGTTTTTAATATTTAATGCTGTATTGTTTTTAACACTCGATTGGGAGCCGCCCAGAGTGGCTGGGGAAACTCAGCCAGATGGGTGGGATATAAATAATAAATTATTATTATTATTATTATTATTATTATGCTGGCACATTGCAGTTGGGCAGGAGATGCTGGCAGACTCTGCGTGACCGGGTCTTGCTGGGAAAGGAAGTTGCCTGCATGGCTAACCGTGCGGTTCATGCAAATGTGTGCAGCTGAGCCCAGGTGCCAGTTTAAGAAAAGCAGCTCTGCGTGTGGGGTGGGGTGGGGATTTGGAGTCAAGCTGCTTATCTGCATCTCTGGGGCAGGGGGGCCTCCACGTGCCGCTGCTTCTCTCTTCCAAACCGAAACGGGGGCTTGCGCACACTTGCGCGCCTGCCAGGGCTTTGCCTGTGAAATGCTCATGTGATGCAAACCCTTCTTAAGAGTCTGCCTCTGTCTCCGCAGCTGCGAGGCCGGAAAGATGGTGCGGCTGGCAAATGGGACCCACAGTTCGGATGTGGTTTGCGGTGAGTGAGCTCCCAGCCAGAGGTGTGGGCTTGGTGGGGACTGCCAGAAGGGCTGGTGCCTTGGGCACGTGGAGGGCGACTTTCTCTTCAGCTTGGAAGGTACTGTGTCCAGGTCTGGATGTGGGCAAACTGGGTGGGTCTGGAAACCAAGCCTGATGAGGAACTGTTGAGGGAGCTGAGTATAGGTAGCTAAACTTTATTCGCATTAGCCAACGGCCATGGCAACATAAAACAAGCAATATATACAAATAAGGTAAAGGTAAAGGGACCCCTGACCATTAGCTCCAGTCGTGGCCGACTCTGGGGTTGCAGCGCTCATCTCGCTTTACTGGCTGAGGGAACCGGCGTACAGCTTCCGGGTCATGTGGCCAGCAGGACTAAGCCACTTCTGGAGAACCAGAGCAGCTCATTGAAACGCTGTTTACCTTCCCGCCGGAGCGGTACCTATTTATCTACTTGCACTTTGAGGTGCTTTCGAACTGCTAGGTTGGCAGGAGCAGGGACCGGGCAACGGGAGCTCACCCCATCGCGGGGATTCGAACCACCGACCTTCTGATCAGCAAGTCCTAGGCTCTGTGGTTTAACCCACAGCGCCACCCGTGTCCCTATATATATATATATATATACAATACACACACACACACACACACACACACACACACACACACACATAGCAATGAGTAAAAAGGGCAATGAAATGACCAAGATTATCGTTCAGATAGTGGCCCTTAATCTCATTGCACCCTCGATCAACCTCGCACCCTTTGCTGTTGTCTGATCATTTTGATCTGATAAAATAAAGAACAATGTGGCCTGGGATGGGCGGCCTGGGATGGGCGGCCTGGGATGGGCGGCCTGGGATGGTAAGTATGGAGCTGGGTATGTTCAGCCTGGAAAAGAAGAGACTCGGAGGAGATGTGAGAGCCATCGTCAAATATCTCCAGGGCTGCCACATGGAAGAGGGAGCATGCTTGTTTTCTCCTGCCCTGGAGGGTAGAATCCAAGCTAATGGCTTCAAGTTACAAGAAAGGAGATTCCAGCTGAACATCAGGAAGAACTTTCTGATCACAAGAGCTCTTGGATAGTGGGGTGGTCTCCCCTGCGAGGTGGTGGGCTCCCCTTCCTTAGAGGTTTTTGAGCAGAGGTTGGAGGGCCGCCTGCCAAGGATTCTTCAGCTGCCATTCCTGTATTGCAGGGGGTTGGGCTGGATGACCCTTAGGGTCCCTTCCAGCTCTCCAAGTCCATGAAGGGAGGTCTTGCTGAGGAAATACCTTCTCCTTTTGTCAGCTGTGACATTGGGGGGGGGGCAGGAACACTCTTGCCTGGCTTCCAGTTCTTATCCAGAATGGCCTGGAGGTGGCAGGGGAGGACTGCTGGCAGGGCCTGCTCCGCGCAGCCCCCTCGGAAGGAATGAAGAAGCTGTGTCCGGCTGTTCTTGTGTTTTGAGGCTGTGCTGAACAAGGAGGCCAAAAAAATTAGCCCAGAAAGTGTAGAAGTGAAGCTGGCAGATGGAGTTGTTTGGAGCAGGGGCTGCAGCAGATCTGGAGGGGGGCCTCATCCTGCTCAGTTGCTGCTGAGCATCAAAGAGGCTTCTTCCTGTGCTTTCACTGGCTCTTACGGTGTTTGTTTACTGCATTCAGACCCCCCCTTCCAATTAAACCCCCACAACAACCCTTTGAGGGAGGTTAGGCTGAGAGGCAGGGACTGGCCCCCAAAGGCCACTCAGTGAGCTTCCGGGCCAAGTGTTAGGATTTGAACCCTGGTCTCCCAGGTCCTGGTCTGATGCTCTAACCACTGCACCACACTCTTCTTATCCTTTCTTCCATTTCTGTTCTTTCCCCCAAAGGGGCCCGGGGCCAGTCCAGCCTACCTCACAGGGTTGTTGTCAGAATTCAACGGGGAGAGGGAGACCCACGCACAGCCCCCCTTGAAAGGTGGCCTTAAATGTAATAAAGAAAGAAAGAAAAACAAGAGACCTGCCCGCCCACACGGTCCGGCTGCATCAACTGAGACGGATCCCGTGAGCCAGGATTCGCTGGTGCTTCAGGGATCTCCCAGTGAGCCTGGGGCATCAAGCGGGGCAGGATCTGCCCCTCCCAGGGCTTCCCAAATCTCCCTCTGCAGGCTGCGCAGTGGCCTCCCATTAAAAACGCGACGCTGATCCAGACCAGCCGCTTTATTTTTAACTCCGCAGCGTTCTAAAAATAAGGTGTTTTTCCTTCGAGAAAAAAGCCACCCTTCACAATAACTCTTTAAATGGCTGCCTTGAAGAAACCTTTAGCGAAAGCTAAATTTGTTTTGGTTTAACTTGGCTTGACGCCTTGCTGATCGCCCAGCGCCTAATTGTCTTCCTTCGCAGTCGGGCACAAAGAGGAGGTCAGTGCGGAAGACCCAGAAGTATTTAAGGGCTGTTTGTTCCATGGCTGCGCCCACTGAAGACATCCAAGCTGGGGGCAGCGAGGGGGGGAGTGGGGGGGTGAGGGATTAGTCCCAGAGGATTCCTGCGCTGGGGGGGGGGAATTGCAGGGGGTTGGTCTAGATGGCCCTTGGGGGTCCCTTCCAAGGCTGTGATTCTGCCCGCAGGGGTATGCCCTGGTTGCCCTGGCGCTGGGGGGTTTCATGTGGCTCCTTTCCTGCACCCTCCCACAGGTGTCCTGCCCACACAGCCCCCTCAGGAAGAAGCCAGAAGGACCCACCTGCTGCTGGTAGTTCCCCTGGTGGCCATCCTTGGGCTGCTGGCGGGGGCCCTGTTCCTCCTCCACCGCCATTGGCGGCGCCAGGGTGAGTCGCTGGACGGGGGGTTGGTGCTTGGGAGGGGGTCTGAAGGGGGGGAGTTCCTGGTGCCAGGGCCAGATTTAGGTTTGATGCGGCCCTCAGCTCCTGAAGTTAATGGGGCCCTTTCTATGTCCGGCTGTCCACAACAAATGGTCACTGTTTTTTGCATTGAATAGACGCTATATGGTCATTTGTGGACCTCATAGGTATCTCAAGCCATTTGCACATCACAAAATATGTGTTGCATCAAAGTAATTGTTGAACTGAAATACAGTGAAGAACCCGTGATATTTGAGGGAGCAGGCTAAGAGCAGTTTCAGGTTAAGAACGGATCTCCGGAACGAATTAAGTTCGTAACTAGAGGTCCCACTGTAAAATAAAACCTACATACAGCAACAGTGTTTGTTTTGTGTTGTGTAGGTCTGCCTGCCTCTCAGGGCCCCCTAACAGTGGGATCCCGTAACAGAAAGGGGGGGTGCTTTCCTTTCCAACTCTTTGGGGTGAGCTCCCTTCTCCCAGGTGCCTGTCGCTGCCCTTCCCCTGAGGGTTGTAGTGTCCCCCCCCCCAAAAAAAACCAGCCAGGGGTCTCCCTATCCAGCCTTGACTGTTTCCCTTTCTCCTGCCTAGATCTCTGGAAGCCTCCCCTGAATCAGGTATGTGTGTCTGAGAGTGAGCAAAAGGGCCTTTGGGGAGGGGGCTTCTGCTGCTGTTGGCAGCAGGCGGGAGGCCCTGGTCCCGGATGCTGCTGCATGTCCCTGCCTGCTGAACCTGCCCCCCCTCTCCCTGCCTCTCTCTTCGCAGCCAGAGGCCGCCTTGGTCCACGAGAGGCCGCAACCTGAGGAGGTAGAGGACCCTGCCTTGCCCGTTCAGGAGACGCTGCTTGGGGGCCAGCCTGTGGCCCAGGAAGATGGCAAGGAGAGCCGCCTCGCTGAGCAGGAGCAGACCTGAGCCCCCTGCCTCCGTCGTCTCTGCCCCCCACCGCCAGCTGGCTCTGGCTGCTTCCCTGCAGGTCCTCCTCCTCCTGCAGGGATTTGTCCTGGACCCCCCTCAAAATCAGGGTGGGTGGGGCTTGCCCTGGTGGGGGTGGAGAGGGCCTGCCCACCAGAAAGTGGGAGGGGTGAGGTGGCATCGCAGGGGGTTGGACTAGATGACCCTCAGGGATCCCCCCTTCCAGCTGTGATTCTAGGGCAGCAAAGGCACCTTCTGCCCTTGGCCTGCTTCTGCTGCAGCTGCCACCTTGGCAGCAACCCTGCAGACCTGGTGGGGAGCAAAAGGGCACCTTGGAGCTGAACCTCTAACCATCGAGGGGCTTCTGTGCAGCAGTTAAATAAACTCCCGGGTTGGGGGAAAGGCTGTGTGTTCCCCGCCAGCCAGGAATTATTCCTCGTTCCCCGAGAGTTGCCCCCTTTTCTCCTGCTCAGCAGTGGAAGGGACTCTCCTTCCCTGGAGGTTTTTCAGCAGAGGTTGGAGGGCCATCTGCCAGGGATGCTTTGCCACGATTCCTGCATTGCAAAGGGGCTGGACTGGATGACCTTTGGGGATCCCTCCCAGACAGACTGGCAAAGACAGCAGCTTCAATGGGCTTTGCCCTCTCTTAGGTGGGGGAGCGCCCTGAGCCTTGCAGAGTGCCTTCTCCAGCAGAGGTCGGCCGGGGGCGGGGGGAAGCAGCCCCAAAGATATGGGGTGTGGGGTATATTGGGTTCACAGCCCTCTGCCTCTCTGGATGCTCCTGGAGCCACGCTCTGGGCTGGTTTTCCTGGGCGGCAAAGGTGTCACTTTAAACGGAGAGTGTCGATTCATGGTTTTTATAGGAACCGTTTTTTATAAACCATTTTTAATAGGACCGTGTTGCGGCCGTTTTCTGTTCTCTTCCAGCCACAGAGAGTTGGGGATAATAACTTGCTTGTACAATTCCTCCATCTGCTCCTCCCTGCAAAAAAACATTTTTTTGTTTTCACTTATATAAATCAGAAGCAACAATCCATATTCCACCAGCCCACCCCAATTTCTGTATCTGCCATGTCGGTCTACGTGGGTCGAGCCGCCTCCATCCTTCAAGGGAAGAACTGCCTTTCTTGTTTCATTCATGTTTTTATACTGTATTTTATGCTGCTTCTACAATTAAGTGTTTTATATTTGTTGTTAGCTGCCCTGAGCCCGGTTTTCTGAACCGGGAAGGGCGGGGTATAAATAAAAATGTATTTATTATTATTTACTTGTTTCATCCCAGAAATTGAATGCGTCTTTTGAGCACACACACACCTGACTGGCCTTGTGGGGGGGTCTTCAGTTTGGGGTCTGTGGCAGAATCTCTGCTGCACCCCCACTGCCACCTTCTCCTGCCTGGGGGTGGGGGGTGGGCCAAGCTGGAGGCTTTGGGTTCCTGCCTGGTCAAGAGAGCCATGCCAGGAGAGGCCAAAGGGTGACCCAGACGCCTCTTGCTTCAGAATGCCTCTTCAGAGAATCATAGAACTGGAAGGGACCCCAAGGGACATCTAGCCCAACCCGCTGCAAGCCCACTAACAGGGCATCAGTGATGTAGCGTAGGTTGCCAGTGCCTGTGGCAAGGCAAATGTGCTTGGCACTGCCTGCCGATAGGCTGGAATGAAGGGGCAATAGCTTGGCGACCTACTTGAGTGGCGTCCCGTGAGCGTTGAGCAGGATGGGGGATTGGTTGGGAGTATCTTTCTAAAGCCCTGCAGAGGGCACCCTGGCAACCGGCCATCACCCAAATCTGCTCCGTGGTCTGCCCATGCGAAGATTGGGATATTTTCTGTGTGAGGGGGAGAGTCCACTCTTTTTTATTGCTACTTCCTTTTTTTCTCTTTAGAAATTTTGTGCGCCAAGAGTTTTGCACCCAGGGCAACCGTCCCTGTGGCTTTGCCCCTGGTATGCCACTTCAGGGCATGGGGGCAACTGCCCTCCTTCCTGCTGTTGCCCCAGTAGCTGGTGATTTCGCCTTGAGCTTGGTCCATCCCTGGCAGGAGGACCGTTCTCCCCGAATCTCCCCAAGGCCCTCCAGAGGGTTGCTGTTTGCACTGGGTCTGGTGTTGTCAGGTGAGCTGTAACCTGCCTGCCTGCTGGGGCAACGGACAAGAGGGAGAAGCAACCTTTTGAACAGACTGGAGGGTGGGGGAATCTATGGCTTGGACTAGATGACTCTTCCAATTCTACGATTCTCGATTCATTGGAGGTTTTTAAAGGTTGGGTGGCCACCTGTCAGGGAAACACTTATTCCTGCAATGCAGGAGGTTGGACTAGATGACCCCTGAGGATCCCATCCAACAGTGCAATTCTGTGGGGTGTGTTCTTTTTTTTGCTTTCTGGACTTCTTCAGAATTACCTGTGTGTTTGTTAATAAATCTGGATTTTGTTATTATTTTGATTTATATAAGTAGTTCTGATCTTTGGCGGGTTCTGGCTAACTTTCCCTCCCTGCTCACTTCATGCCTTACCCTCAAGGTGGACGTTCCTGCCAGGGCACTTCAAACTCCTGCCTGGTGGCAGTTTGGAGGCTGGGACTAAGACCAGTGTATTGGAAGAAGCAAAGATCACCCGTGTCAAAGCAATGATTCTTCAACGTCAACTTGGTTGGACTGGTCATGTTGTGCAGATGTCTGATGATCATCTTCCAAAGCAACTACTCTATTCCGAACTTGGAAAGTGTAATGCTGGTAGTCAACAATTGAGGTTTAATTACTCTCTCAAGGCAAATCTTTAAAAAATGTAGTATAAACACTGACAACTGGGAAACACTGGCCTGCGAGCGCTCCAGTTGGAGAACAGCCTTGACCAAAGGTGTCCTGGGCTTTGAAGACACTCAAACTCAGGACGCAAGGAAGAAACATGCTAAGGGGAAGGCACGCTTGGCAAACCCTCACCGTGATCAACTCCTGCCCGGAAACCAATGTCCCCACTGTGGAAGGACGTGTGGATCCAGAATTGGCCTCCACAGACTCATTGTTAAAACTGTTTGTAGAAGACCATTTTACTCGGCTATGAGGGATCACCAAAAAAGGAGGAGGAGGAGGAGGCTGAGGGAGCTGGCAGAGGCATAACAGGGAAGGCCATTGAGAGAGGGCGGAATAGGGCTTGTGTGTGTGGCCTGGTTGGGGGGCAGGAGTCTTGAGGATCAGACGGAGGGGCCTGCTGGGCTGGATTTTGTCCTCCGCTCCTTCTATGCAACTTGCCAAGGCATATCTGTGGTTTGAGAAAACAGGACAAAATGGGCCATTCGAAAGGGAGCAGGAAGGTCAGTGGCTGCTCTTGTTGTGAGCTGGGAATCCCCCAGCAGCCAAACTCCCTGCTGGGTGGGCCACGAGGCTCAGTTTAGATCAGCTGCTTTGCATGCAGAAGGTCACAGGTTGATCCCCTCCATTTCCAAGTAGGGGCTGGGAAAGACCCCCCCTCTCCATTTGCACTCGATGAGTCTCTGTAGAGACCCTGTGCTGAGCCAGATGGACCCCGTTCCCCCAAAGGCCTCTTCCTCCGTTTCCCCGTAAGACGGCCTTTCCCCAACATGGCACCCTCCCAGCATCTGGGACCACAGCAGCTCTGTGCTGGTTGGTGCTGGTGGGAATTCTAGTTCAAAACCACCACGGTGCCAGCTTGGAGACTGGCGGCTTTACAATCCCCCCTCCAGCAGCCGGTCTCGTTTGGTTCATTCAGGGTGTTTTTGTGCCACGCTGCCCTTCGTGCCAAAAAGAATCACAGCATTTGATGCAAATAGAAACTACAGAAACCACTGAAATACAAATCAAGAAGTTGCAGCCAGTCATAAGAGGAGAATGGAGGGCCTGACTGCATGTGGCGCTGAGGGTGTGAATGCAACCCAGGGGCACATTTTAAAAAATGCAAAGTGAGGTGGTCTAAGAAGGGGGGGCAGTGAGGGAGAGTTTGCCCCTTTGCCTGCCCACACTGCGGCTTTGGCCCCATGAAAATCCCCTCCTCCTGAAATCATGCCATGGGGGGGGGGGGGAGAGAGGATGCCCCTGATTATTCATTTACTTCTATTTCCTGCCTTTCTTCCAAGGAGCTCACGGTGGTGTACATAGTTGTCCTCCCTATTTTACCCTTACAACAACCCTGTGAGGCAGGTTAGGCTGAGGGGCAGTGACTGGCCCAAGGTCACGCAGGGAGCTTCATGGCCGAGTGGGGATTCGAACCCAGATCTCCCAAGCCCTACCTGGCTCTCCCTTGCCGATCATCCAGCCCCCAGTCATGGGGCTGCCCTGCCTTGAAGGGCTGTTGTGTGCTATGTGCTTTGCACAACCTCAAGAAGCAAAACCTCCACAGGTTCTGTGCTCCTTGCAGGAAGATCTCCTGGCTGGCTTTGATCGATGGGCGGAAGAGGAAGAGCCTTTGCCTTCAGTCCCAGTGAGCATCTCCAGGCGGACTCCTGCCTGAAATCCTGGAGAGCTTCTGCTGCCAGCCAGTGCAGACAATACCAGTGGTCTGATTCAGTATAAGGAGGCAGGGAGAAGGAGCCTTCCTGGGAACTGAAGCAGCTTCACCATAGCGCAGGAGGAGAGGGGCATGGGTGGGGCTCTTCCTGACGTTGCTGGACCCCCAACGCCCATCATCCTCACCCCTGACCACTGGACCTGCTGGCTGCTGGGGCTGGGGGCACCTGGAGCCCGACACCATCAGGAAGACCACCGGTGCTCCCTGTCCCTGACCTTAAAGCTACAGTAAGTGGACCTTGGCGGCGGCTGCCTGCTTGGCCCGTGAAAGCGGCCGCATCTTCCGAGAAGGCGGCTTGGCGGGCCGCATCTCGACGTTCCACGGGCCGGTTCCGCGGCGCTTGTTGGCAGCGATGAGTCGCTCTGGCCACCAGGTGGCGCCCTCGTCACGCGACCGGCAATTGCGCGCCGCGAAATCCCGCTACTGGGAGGGAGGGAGGGAGGGAGGGGGGAGAGTCGGAGAGCAGAGCCGGGGGGGGGGGGCAGCCTTTGTTTTGCACGCGGTTGGGGCCGTTTCGTATGCAAGCAGGCTCTCTCCGCCCCTGGCTGAGCAAGCCCTCCCCGCTAAAGCGCACGGCCTTGTTTTAGGGGCGCCAATGCAACCTCGAGGGGCTACAGAACCATTGCATGCCCCCCCGGCCCTCTCGTGCGATGGGGCAGGAGGCTGGGCGGCCCGCGGCGCCAGGTGACCTCGGGAAAGGGGCGCCTTCACCTCGACTCTTCCAGGACCTCCTTTGGGGAGTCCGCGCCAGAGGCTTCGCTTGGCACTCGCAGGCGCCTTTCTCCGCGCCGCAGATTTGCAAGATTTGCAGACTCCTGGAGTGCTGTAAACTTTCCAGAGCCTGAAGAGAAGCGTCGGGTCTCGAGGAACGTGTCGCTGGGCGCGCGCGATGCTCGCCGTTTCTGCTTCGAGAGAAGCGGAGCCGCCTGGAAGCGCCTCTCCCGCTGCAGCTGCGCTTGGCGAGGGATGGCGGCCGCGTCTGGATTCCCGCTTGGCGGCAGCTGGAGGAACCGCCTGAGCGGGGGCTGAATCCGAAGCGAGAGAGAGAAAAAGAAGCCCAAGTTCGCAAGGAAAACAGAAGCAGAACCGAGGGGCCGCCTAGCAGCCTCTCAAGGGCCAGCCTGACGCCCCCAAGGGGAGCCCAAGCAGGACCAGAGCGCAAGGGCAACTCTCTTCACCTCTCTCAAATCAGAACCAGTGAAGGAGGTGAAGGTCCTGTGTGAGTGTCTGGAGGCGGTTGGAGGACGGGTGGCAGCTAACAGATTGAGGTTGAATCCTGACAAGATAGAAGTGGTTTTGAGGGGACAGGAGGTGGGCAGGTGTGGAGGATTCCCTGGTCCTGAATGGGGTAACTGTGCCCCTGA